GGGAGCGAAGCAGGGAGGGAGCGAAGGAGCGAGGCAGGGAGGCAGGGAGTGAGCGAGGGAGCGAGGCAGGCAGGGAGCGAAGGAGCGAGGCAGGGAGGGAGCGAGGCAGCGAGGGAGCGAGGCAGGGAGGGAGCGAGGCAGGGAGGGAGCGAGGCAGGGAGGGAGCGAGGCAGGGAGGGAGCGAAGGAGCGAGGCAGGGAGGCAGGGAGTGAGCGAGGGAGCGAGGCAGGGAGGGAGCGAAGGAGCGAGGCAGGGAGGGAGCGAGGTAGGGAGGCAGCGAGGCAGGGAGCGAGCGAGGGAGCGAGGCAGGGAGGGAGCGAGGGAGCGATCGAGTTAGCGAGCGGCGTTCGCCACCGTTGCCGAGATTTACGCGCGGCTCCATCGCTGCGTCGGCGCGGAGGGAGGAGGCCGACTCCACGCTGAGCGGCGACCTCACAGCGCCTGGCCCCGTGCCAGCCCCATCATCACCACCACCACCGGTTGTCTAATTACTTAACAGGCTGGCACGCTGGCCAGCTGGCTCATGGCTCACACACTTACGCACGCACACACGCACGCACGCGTATGTATATATTCGTACGTACACACACAAAGATCCCCGTATAGCCATTTAGCTGGTTGTTGGGGCAAGCGCTGTTAGCGAGCACCTATTATGAAGGCCGACACGACGCACGAGGGGGGGTTATCGGTCAGCACCACGCCCGGCCGCCTTTGTCTCCCCAGTAGCAATGTTTACAAGGAGAGGCTTCATATAATCGTCACTGGTATTGGCCATCAGCTGCTTTGTGGACCGTATGCGGCGCGTAAAAGCTGCTGCTGTTCTCCATTCTGATCGCGACATTTCGTTAGACGCCACTCATTATATTCCACGAGCATAAGGAGCGGTGGCGCCGTGGTTAGCGCACTGCGCTATGAGCCCGTCGACTCGAGTTCCGAACCGTTCCTGCCTCCTTCACCAAACCCGCACTGACCAGCATAGTGAAGTATGGTCAAACATCCTCCCTGACCAACACGGCAATGGGAGGCCTTCAACCAGCGGGGAGGCATATTGAGTGCCTGTCAATATTATTATAATTATTATGATCTGGTCTCTACGCCTTTGATCGGCAGTGTAGTTCGGGGGACAATGTCCGTAAATTCCAAGCACGCTCACGATGCGTGCCCAGTGTTTAAGCTCAAGAGCGCACTGTGAATTGTTGTGATCACGCTGTCAAGCGGGTGTAAATGCTGTGTTTTATTTATTTAAACCAGGTGCGAGCCCCAAGAGGGAGACCTGGGCGCAAGGGTAATACAGTGAATATGTAAATAAACAGCGAAGCACGTGTGACATCATAAATCTGACATTGTTCCACGCGGTAGGAGTGGCGGCGCAGTGGTTCGTAAACTTGGCGATGAACCTGACGACCTTAGCTGGATTCCCAAGCACGGCGATGACCAGGTAGCCAGTCTTGACCATCAAAGTGAAAAAGTGCTGTATGGTCAAACATTCCCCGTGAGTTGCACACCATGCGGAAGCCTCTATCCAGCAAGTGGGTCGACAACGTGATTCAAATTGCAATTTACTGAATGTTGCTGCCTATATGTGCAAATAAAAATAAAGTTCATCAACCTAAACTGGCAAATGATGGCTGTGAACTCAACAGAACAACATTGGCATGGGTGATGGGAGGCCACAGCGCCACGGATTTGAACTCAAAATCACGGCGAGGTCACCATGAGGTGTGTGTGGTGTGTTATGAAGAAGCTTCTTGATTAAACTGGCCCCCCCCCCCTCTACTTTCCTCCCACTTGCCCCCCACACACACAGAGGCATAAAGAAACTGGAGCAAAGTCCCAGCTTTCCTAGCGCACAATGACAGCGAAGAGAGAATAAAAAAAAAATTCCGCACAACGTCAATTGGAAAATAATGTGTTCTCGACAGGGGGCTGATATTCTCGTGACTGGGAATAGGATTTATGAAGGAAATTCTGTGTACTACATGAGGCATATCAGCGCAAGCCGGCATGTTTAAGAGATTTTACGGCTTCGCTCGGCAGCATCCGCGAAGCCATTTGGGGATGTACGGCAATCGTGCCGCATAATGAACTTTCCTTGCAATTTCCACACAGCCACTTCAAAGGGCAAGAGTGAGCGCCGGACAGCGGAGCCAGGTTTTTGACTCTCGGCGATAAATTCGACAAAGCCACATGTCCAGGCACAGAGCGGCGCTGCGCCCCAGAAATTATCGCTCCTTTAAATGCGCGTCGTACTTCGCCGCTGATATACTGCCGCCGTTGGCTCGCGGTTCATCTCGCTCGCGCGCACCGGCTCCTCGGACCGCGAGATCCCCACGTGGCGGTCGTGACCCGTCGGTGATTTCTTTGCAACTTCTTTGGCTGCCCCGTTCCTTCTCCAGCCTCGTCCATCGGTTATCGCCCTTCCTCGCGATGTGCTCTGCACAAGTCCGTTTACATCTTCTTGGTTGATAATTGTTTTTTTAACCCTTCTACCTGGCAACAAAACTGACACCTTTTTTTTTACAAGGAGTCATGTTTGCATAGAACACAATACCTGCAGTCGTAAATGCAAAGAAAAAACATAACTCTGATAATGTATGCACTGTTATGTTTTTTGTTTGCATTTACGACTGCAGGTATTGTGGTCTATGCAAACATGACTCCTTGTAAAAAAAAAAGGTGTCAGTTTTGTTTCCAGGTAGAAGGGTAAAAAAACAATTATCATATTTTTTACTGGCAAATTAGGTTCCAATGGTGTAAATCTTCTTGGTTCTTTCGGTAAAGTCACGTAGAAGGTAAATAATAAAATAATAAAAATAAAACATAATAAGGTCTGTCGGGAAGACAGCGTCTGAATTCAGACGCTGACAGACCTGTTCTTCACCTGAGGACGGCTGCTTGCGTTGTGGCCGAAACGTCGTGAGAATTATTTTATTATGTTTTATTTTTATTATTTTATTATTTACCTTCTACGTGACTTTACCGAAAGAACCAAGAAGACGTATCCCTGCAGTCACGAAAGAAGCTTCACATCGAAATTTAAGTCTGTTTACGTTTGTGACCAGTCAACAAGGCGTCTCTAATCTGCATTCAGCCGGTGCTCCGAATATGCCTCGTTTTGTTTGTTAGTGGAATTCCCAGCATGCATGGCTTACGTGCTTATTTGTATGCTTTAAAGCTTTTTGTTAAATGCCATATGTCTTTGCCCATGTTTCCAATCTATAGGTCATAGAAAACACGATGCACCAATTAGAAACGTTGTTCTTTTGGCATATTGGTATGTTGCTTTTCGTTACGAAGTTTATTTTTATAAAAGGCACTCCAACCTGATCTGGCTCACCATGATAATTCTATTCAAGCTTGAAATTATATGGCCTGGTTATACTAACTCTCTTGTGCTTTCCAGTTGTATTGCTCCAGAATTTATTTCCTGCCCAGTGGTCAAGAATTTTTCTAAAAGTTAAAATTTGGAAATATTTCCTCGAGTTCATTACCGGTCGTTATAGTAACGAAGCGATCGGAAAATCTGAGATGGTTAAAACAGTCACCCTTCATCTGTTTGTCTTTATTTCTACAATTCAGTTTCCATAACACTATCTCCGAGTGTCACTGCGCCATAGCTTTTAGTTTCTGAGCCACGGCCAGATATTTTGTTTGTCGGTACCGCCTCAGGTGACATCACTTTCAGTGGTTCTAATTCTGTGTGTGGCCAACAACAATTCATTGTACACCATTGGAACCTCATTTGCCAGTAAAAAATATGATAATTGCTTTTTTACCCTTCTATCTGGCAACAAAACTGCGCCTTTTGGCATCATCTGGTCCAACCCATGTGAGACTAGGCTCTAAGGAAAGCTGTCTCGGGTGTGGACCAATCAACTTAAACTGCAGTGCATACATCATCAGAGTTGATGTTTTTTGTTTGCATTATGACTGCAGGTAATGTGGTCTATGCAAACATGACTCCTTGTAAAAAAGGTGTCAGTTTTGTTGCCAGATAGAAGGGTAAACAAACAATTATAATATTCATTGTGTCAAACAAATCATTCACTCTTATTCGCTATGTAAATACATCGATGACTAAACTTGTGCTACCTAACGTTGGTACCAATTTCAACTCCGGCGCACGGATTGTTTTGCGTGAGAATAACTCCTCGTCTGACTCTCTCATTGTCTTACTTTCCTTATACAATCTTAGCTGTTGCAGCTCTACGAATGATTGCGCTCATTTCTGTATATAATTGTTTTATCGAGGCTTTGTGATAGCGGTGAATGTCTTCTTCAGTTTCCACTTACTTCTTTTTCATAAGCAGACAATAATAATAATCAGTTTTTATATCACGTGATTCACAACGCTGCACAATCCGCAACACGTGGAGACAGTTTCTATGTTTTCAGACAATTAAAGATGAGTGCTTGTGTGGGAGGAAACTGGAGCACCCGGACAAATCCGCTTACTGCATCGCGCGCTTTCAGATGCGCTTCCGCGGCCGTCTGGATCGTTCTTCATTCCGATATTAGGAAGCCACGTTAGCCATGCACTTTTAAATCATCTCCATTTAAAGCGAATTTCTCTAGAACTGCTTTTTGTGTTCAGTTTGTTGCCCTTCCCCCCCGCACCTCCAATGAGCTGGGTTGGCTACGTACGGTGCGATAGAAGTTCAACATGCATACATACGTCCGTACAAAACTGCACGTGTGCGAGGGGGCAACATTCTATCCCATCAAGATGGAATTAGCTACTCAATAAATAGTCCCTCGGTTAACAGCGACATCGGTTAACGGTTTTTCGGTTAACGATTTGCCTCCCATCGGACCCCATTGTTTCGACCAACGTTAACATCTTGATTAACGGCAATGTTGACGTTTTGCACGCGGCCGCCAAATTTGTCCAAACCGAGCACTCATAAGTGAGCTGAGCCATTGACCTCCGCCAATCACCTAATTGCTACATTCGATTAACAGTGATTTCGGTTAACAGTAGTTTCCGTGGAACGGATTAAAAACGTTAACCGAGGGAACTACTGTCGTCTATTGCACTATCCAATCAATCGTTTGTATGTGGTGAGTGTTAAATATATATTTTTATAAATACAGCTAGCTCTCCTGGTTGATTGGCCTCTAAATAGACGAGCGTTGGATGTATCTGACGTCCGTGAACCGTTGAAGAATGTGCGATCAGATGTGAATGTGTTTGCGAACTTTCATACCGGTGTTGTCTCCCTATTCGAATGCAAGAGCGTCCGAGGCATCGTTCTTCAAGGAAGACGTTTAATTTCGGAAGTTTTCCATATTTTCATCCTGTAAAAGGCAGCTCTTACCTCTTCAGCTGTGACATCTGGAACCTCTTCCCTCCTCAACTGAAAAAATTAAATAGATTTTTTTTTGCCTATGAAGATCTGCGTAAAATTCCTCTACTAGTTTTACGATTCTGTCTCTATTATGCATGCATTATATATGGTTCCATTGAACAGGTCCTGGGTCTCCCCTAGGTCTACTCAGTCTCAAATGAGTACCTGGTGCGATGTGTAAAAACATCGCCACTAGGGAGACAAAGGTGGCCGGGTGTGGTGCTGGCCACCCACACTATCATGTGCCGTGCCGGCCTTCATAAACTAAACTATTTTTTGTTTGACCAGGTAAAGCCCACTAAGTTGTATAGCTATTTTCAGAAGCTACCTGACCACAAATGATAGCTCAACGAAGTGGCTTATCACGTGGAAATTTACATCAGCCAAATAATTTAAACGCATGTTTCTAAATGTTGTGGAGGGAAAAAAACTGGAGGACCCCGAGAAAAATCCACGCGACCACGGGGAAAACATACAAACTCCAAATAGACAGGCGTCGGGATCGGGATCGGGATCGAATCCACAACCTCCTGTATACCAGGCGAGGTAGTTAACATTTCGCCACCTCGGCGCCAACAGCACTTGCCCCAACAGTCTGTTAAGGCTATACGGGAGACCTTTGTCTTTGTTCATCTGATTCTGTCAGGGCTACTCTGGTGCAGTGTATCAATCACCAACTTCTTTTCTTGCTGCTTCCATTCCCCTCTTGCTTGTTTCGGGCATGTCGAAATATCATTTGCAGGATAAATTATTGAAAATTTATTTTTTAGAAAATATTGAAATGCACCTGTTTGCTTTACAAAAAGAGATTGCACGCACGGTTAATCCTTTTTACCCCCAACATGGAATAATAACCAGCATTGAAATAAATATTACATACTGGTACCTTGCAAAATTCGCTAAATTAAAATCAGTCGACGCCCTCAAATAGCCAGAGGCTCTCTGTCACCGTGTTTCACTGAGAGACAGGAAGAGCAACGCGCGGATTGGAGAACGTACGCAAAGTCATTGCTCCCGTTACCGTGCCATGAGATGGGGTGATTTTTTATTATTTTATTATTTTATTTTATTTTTATTAATTTTAATTTCATTTTTTTACCTACGTGACTTTACCGAAAAAACTACAAGTATGAATCCTTGCAGTCACGAAAGCTTCAAATCTAGAATGAGATGGGGACTTTGGCCGAGATCCATGGAAAGTGGCAGCCAGATGAGTCAAACGCACGCGGGAGATTGAGCGTTGAAATCATCCCGCGTGCAGGATCGGGATGGATCGTTAGCGTCGCAAGCTGCACGATATGTGACGGCGGTTTGGGGAGGTCAGCATCCAGCAGCGGAGAGATCAATGGCTGCTGCTGCTGATGATGATGATAATGATGATGAATAAAACGATCTGCTGTCATGAGTGAGTCACCCAGTTAACAACACGGGATGGGTTTGTTATAGAAACTACGTAAAGTAAGTCATAACATGCTCCGGTCTCAAATTATCTTTGCCATTCCTGTCAGCCCAACCGAATCAAATAGGCAATAACAAAGTGCTGCCCCATTAAATGTTGCTTCTGACTGACCTCTCTTTATTTTATTTTGCTTTTGGGGGGGGGGCAGGAAAAGCTCCCGATATCGCTCGGCTTTGATGTTGAAATTGTGTAAACTTTCTTTGTCAACGGACTTGAAGCACCTGCTGCGAGCCGACATGGGGGCACGAGGGTCAATTCCTATCCGGTGATCGAGCGATTATCCCAATCCAAATCCACGGCTTTAAAAATAAATATATATACACAGCTACGCGTATTACCTAATCGTGTATCTGACATTCGCATGCGGAAATCAGTTTTGTTTTGTCCGGCGGGAGGCGGTGGCGTCGGGGGGGGGGGGGGGGGGGTGATAACAGCCTCGCAATGATTAATAGCACCGTTTAAGATTTCAAAAACTCCTACGGCTTAATTACACACCAATTATATTTATACGAGGGGTAAAGCCGAGATGCGTAGAGTTAGCGACGTGAGACAGAAAAATTGCGCACCAAACGGGGTGATTTAAAGCCGCGTCTAGCATTCTGCACGGGGCAGCAGCGAAACACCGCAAGAGAGCCGAAGAAACCCTCAATTGGCGTGCGTTTCGCCGCCCCCCCCCCCAGCCCCCCTCCCAGCCCCCCATTCCCCCCACCGGTTCTGTCGGAGACGAACGCCGGTCAAAGAAGTCGACGTTTTTGGGCACCTCGCGAATTGTGCGGCGAGCGCTCGGCTACCCACCGCCCCGCTTCCCTTTCAACCGCACACCCTTCTTCCATCAGTAAAGACACTCGGGGGGGGGGGTCCCGGTGGTGGGGGAGGGTCCCGGTGGGGGGGGGGGTCCCGGTGGTGGGGGGGGGGGTCCCGGTGGTGGGGGGGGGGGTCCCGGTGGTGGGGGGGGGGGGGGTCCCGGTGGTGGGGGGGGGGGTCCCGGTGGTGGGGGGGTCCCGGTGGTGGGGGGGGGTTTGGTGGGGGGGTGGTCCCAGTGGTAGAGGGGGTCCCGGTGGTGGGGGGGGGGTGTCCCGGTGGTGGGGGGGGGTCCCGGTGGGGGTGGGGGGGTCCCTGTGGGGGGGGGGTCCCGGTGGTGGGGGGGGGGGGTGTCCCGATGGTGGGGGGGGGTGTCCCGGTAGTGGGGGGGGGGGGTCCCGGTGGTGGGGGGGGGGGTGCTGGTGGGGGGGGTGTCCCGATGGTGGGGGGGGTGTCCCGGTAGTGGGGGGGGGTCCCGGTGGTGGGGGGGGGGTGTCCCGATGGTGGGGGGGGGGTCCCGGTGGTGGGGGGGGGGGTGTCTCGGTGGTGGGGGGGGGGTCCCGGTGGTGGGTGGGTGGGGGGGTCCCGTACAACAAGCGCCGCTTGAACAAGCAAAACATCGGGGGCATTAGCGCAACGGCGTGGCATTTCACAAATAGCTGCAGCGTGACTCCTCCACACGGCGGCTCACGGCGCTTACTGGAGTCTGCCGCCATATGAGGGCATTCGCACGACGTCGGCCGTGGCACGCGGCGAGTTTCTCAAAATGTCGAGCACGTGCCCCGAAGTGACTGCAGATTTCAAGAGAAAAAAACCGAGGGCTTTTGTTTGCAAGAGCCTGTCAAAGGTTACGCGCGTTTTACCGGGAGCTCGGCGATTGCGCCCGGCTTGTCGTCGGGCACAAACGATGGCACGGCGAGACAAAATATGACAATTTTTTAAATGCCGTACCACTGAAATGCGAGATCGAGGAGATTGCTAGTATTGTTATTGTTATCGCCGGTGTTGTAGGTATTAACGTGAAGGAATGTAGCTTCCCTAAGAGTTGCCCAATAAGCGTAAAAAAAAAATCGGTATAAAAACTGCGTATTAAATTACGTCTCGCGTGAAGAAACGGAGGATCGCGGTAATGTATTAAAATCAATTTGTCTTCGCAGGTGACTCTGTAAGACGTTACTGGAGGAACTCCACTCTTGTTAGGTTCCGTGACCTTCAGGTGCGTTAGCAAAACCAAATCCGACACGAAGCCGAGACCAATTTTGCAACAAAAAATACAAAAGTTCGAACAAATGTAATCAGTGTTGCACGGTTACCCGCGCTTGTAATTCATAACAGCGTCTGATTAATGCTTTTGCCATTGTTTCCACGACCCCTGCCTGCAGCTACTACAACGGCACAATGTTATTATTTAGAACAAAATCCGCCGGCTCCCAATCGGACTCTGCCATCTTCCATCACTCAGCAGGCTGACAAGGGATTTGTTCTGACTTCTGATTCCTATCAGTTCTCATCTTACCATGAAGAGGGCTGGAATGCGTGTTTTTTCTTCTTTTCTAGGAGGGAGCTTTCAGCAGCCAGCTTCATGCACGACCACCGGATTCTACGAAAAAGTGTCGGACGTCATGCGAAAAATCACGACTGCACATTTTTATATGATTATTATTTTCATATATATATCGCCGACGTACCACGCTTCTGATGTGCGTACATTGTACATGATAGGCCATTGTTTGTATACAGATATGTTCAATCAATTTGGGGGGGGGTTGTCTCACAATGTACTCAATAATATATTTCAAAGTCGTTTTCATCCCACATTCGATTAAACGCATCCCGACAGACAAGATAAACTCGTCTTCCGCACTGATGAAAAAAGCAGCTTCTGTAGGGTGACGGTGGCGATGGTGGCGTTGATTGAGAATATGTTTTAATGACTGCGGGTTCAATAAGAGTCGACTAATCCCCTTCTACGTAAATTGAAACATGGAACAAATCACGTTTCGGAATCGTGGGATGAAGTGACGACTTTGTAGCTTTTCGCGCTTGTGCTGTTTGGCTTCTCCCGTCTGTTGTCGAGGTCGTACCGCGCACTGTTCAGCACGACGTCCGACGTTTTGCACCACGTGCTGTGCGCTTCTTCGGGAACTGAACACAGAAAGCGAAATGTCGGATAACATGCTAACACACACGCGACACGCCCCAGAAACGTATCGGACCGTAGGCAGGAAATCCGCTTTGGGTTACCAGCAGATATAATGTGGAGTCATTGCATTAAAGTTGAAATCGACGCGCGTCATGCGTTAAGATGAAACGTTAAAAAGATATGCAACTGGAGTCGTACTTTTGTTCTCTCTCGATAAAGCTCCATGAGCAATTTCAAGTGGCCCATAGGAATGGCACCATATATGTCGTGCGTGTGTGTACGTGTGTGGGGAGCGGTGGTGGAGCGGTTAGCGCGCTGCGCTACGAACCCGGCGACCCGAGTTCGATTCCCGCTCACGGCCAACACCGGTGACGATTATCTGAACCGGTCCTGGGCCTCCCCTAGGTTGAATCAGCCTCAAATGAGTACCTGGTACGATGCGTAAACATCGCTACTATGGAGACAAAGGCGGCCAGGCGTGGTGTTGGCCACGCACCCTCTCGTGTGCTAACAGCACTTGCCTCAACAGTCTATTAAGGCTATACGGGGGATATTTGTCAGTGTGTGCTCGCTAACGGCTCTTGCCCCAACAGTCTATTGAGACCATAGAGGCGGTCTTTGTCCGTGAGTACCTGGTGCGATGTGTAAATATGGACCACCAGGGAGACAAAGGCGGCCGGGCGTGAGGCTGGCGACCCCCATCCCCCCTCGTGTGCCGTGCCGGCCGTCATAGGTGCTCGATAACAGCACTTTCCCCAACAGTGTGTTACAGACTATACAGGGGATCTTTGTCTGCCTTTGAACCCCGCTGCCACCAATTTTTTGTTTCCAAGAAATTTCACTTTTTTCGGCTAAGAAACCCATTTTTTTTGTTGTTGTCTGGTTCTGGCCGGTCGCATCAAAGCGCTGCTGTATCAACTCAAATTGCTGGAGAGCGCCGCCGCAGTGCAAACAGCGGCACACGTCGGCGACGTGGATGGCAGAGGGGCGAATGGAAGAGCCGTTAGAATTGCGCATCGCTCAGTCGTTGGGGCTCACCTATATACCATCGCAGCTATGATGAGGCGTCGTCAGTGCTTGGTTCCCCCGTTGTCCATCGTATTCATTGGATCGACCTAGAGGCTTTCAAGTTTCAAGTTTCATTTATTAGGTATAGCCCTGTGAGCCATGCGGCTCTTAAGTCGGGTGCAACCACAACAAACAAAATATGAACACAGAACATCCCAAAGGGACGACGCGCAACAGAAACACCCTGGAATAAACCAGCAAATGTTCAAAAAAAAAACGTATTAAAACGCTGTGTGCAAAAATCACAATGTGGTGCAAGCCCACAACAACCATAAGACAATTTAGATTAACCATATGTTTTGGAATCACCAAAATAAAGCTATAAAAACAATGTAACAACTGCAATCATAGCAACTATGATTTAAAGTTAACAATAAACGATATGCAGTTTATCGTTAAACGGCGCTCTTTTAATTGTTACGCAAGTTGCGCAGGTTTTCGCGGTTGTCCTGCGTAGCGCGCTTTCAGACGCGCTTCTGCGACCGTCTGGAACGCTCTTCCTTCTGATGTTCGGAAGCCTCTGGGAGCTATGCACTTTTAAATCACCGAGATTGAAAACTCATTTCTTTAGAACTGCTTTTTGTGTTTAGTTTGCAGCCCTTCCTCCCGCTTGGTTGGCTACGTACGGTGCGAAAGAAGCTCAAAATACATGCGTACATACGCAGCTCACCGATGTGTTGTCGGGTCACACCGCGTGTTCTTGGGCACAATGTCCGACGTTTTGCTCCACGCGCTCCACATGCTTGGAGATTTTTTTTCAGGAACTGATGAAGTGTTATAATTTTTTTTTTTTAAACCCCCATGTTCTGGAGTCTCGAGATTTAGTGCATGGGAAGCACGGTATAAACAATCACCCGACTGCGTTCAGTTTCTGAGGAAGCACGTGGAGAAAAACGTCGGACATCAAAACGTACTGCCCAGAATGGTGACTTATGATCACACATCCCGCATGACTGACAATTGCCTTTAGCCAGCAGTCGATTAGTAAAACGCTGAAAATAATTACCTTCATTATACACTACCATACCTTGCATTACGTACATTACGTTTTGTATATAATGTACCAAGCCCTCTATATTTGTAGAAAGACCTGTAATTGTTGTTTTGAATCATCACACTCATGGACTGAGTTATTAGATTTGTATGCAATGATGACCTGCGGCATGGCTTTATGATCAAGGCAATGGATATTTCACTGAAATTGAATCCTTGCTGGTGCGCATTATTGTGCAGCGTACAAATAACTAAGGAACAGAACAACTATGTTAATACGCTCACGGGGCAGCACAAGTCATGACACCACTTTGAGATCAATCGCCCTGTGTTACGTTATCCAAATTCAACGTAAATGCGAACATGGGCAATGGTATTCGAATTCCAATCTGCTCAAGACACAATTTCTAAAAGAAACATTACATTTGCGAGTAATTACGCAGCTCTCTGCTATGTTATCATAAAAGGTCACAGCGCACATTATTTAATTTCCAGTCGTTGAGGTCATGTTTTTCTTTGCAGTGGTTGAGTGTAAATTACTCGGCGCCATTCTAAAATGTACCCTCATACGAGTGGCTGATGTTGTCGTCGCAAATAACCACGTGTTATGTTTAAATAAGGATTTCGATGCGACCACAGCTGCTGTTTTAACCGTAATAGCTGTTGAATTATCTAAAGTGTTATTAGCGAAAATAAATTTTGCCTTTTAACAAAAATGCTTTCTAATTAATCACAGTCGTGTTTTAAACAGCACACTGTGTAGATGTGAGCGGGGTTTTTTTTTCCTTTTGCTATTTAGAATACGCGTAAACCCCACCTCCGATTATCACGGTTGGCTACGTACGGTGCGAAAGAAATTAAACAGACACGCGAAATGTTTACTTTACATGGGCTTTCTTTCCACGTTAAATCGGTCCGAAGAATTGAGACATTTACGAAAAAATGTCATTGCTTCTTAAACGTTTCACCAAATCCCATATTTAATATCGAACATTCCTCATCGGTCAGCTCATCCAATGGACGTAAATAAACACATACCACTGACCATTCATGATGACATTCTCGGGGCTCCAGTGGAACAAAAGCGGTTAAGTGTGACAAACCACATGGGCGGCTCGGCGAGAGCGTCTTGTTACGGCACATTCAATGAAAACGCTCTCACGCCAAAATTAAATGCAGTTCGTAGTATTTTAAATTACGCCGAGGATAGTCAGCCGGGGGGAATATTTTCCGTGCGTGGTTAGCGCGCACTGAACTTGCGAACCAGACGGAGGCAATGAGGCGAATTCAAAGAGTGAGGCGAGTTTCTTCAAGTTCCCAAGCGCCTCGGTCTATCCAGCCAGCAGCACACAAAATGGGTTCATCACGGTTCGTCGATGGGCAGTTCGTGTGTGGTGGGGTAAAGTGTGGGGACTCACACCTCCTGGAAGAGTAGGCCAAATACCATGTACAGCTCCCTCGAGTGGAGCCCCCCTCCCGCCAGCAGTGTCGTGAGCCGGTCACCTGCAGGGCTGCACCTGAACCTATCTACATCGCGATTGAAATGGTCGGTCACACGCAGCAGCCATTGCAGCTCCATTAACTTTCACTGAAGTATTAAGACGGATATGTTAACAAAATATTCTGCAGTGCTAAACGTAAGCACGCTCCATCTATGTTCAGTGCGTACTGTCTAGTAGAACACAACGTAGATTTCTCACGTGAAGCTGCTGGATGAAAATCAGCACTGCGCAACGTTCAATAAACCCTGATATTTATACGAGACTCAATATGAGACACCGCAGAACCAAGCGAATTATAGTGATCACGATTTGAAGGTCACGGGATAAATCCAATTGTCATTTTCATTTATATATGTTTTTTTAACGTGTCTATTCATGCCAGCTGCGATAGAACTCGAACTCTCATCTCAGTAAACCAAACCCAATCTCTCTCCTTTCTCCCATGTTGCCCCGTTCTTCAGTTGGGGGTGTGCACAGGTTTGTCGTGGGGGCAGCAACGGCGGTGAATGGGTCAAGTCAGATGTGTTGAGAGTTTAATTGAGCCATTCCAATGCGGAGGGAGGTTGTTGACCACAGGGTGTATATACCCGCAACACTATTGGCTCCCAGAAACTCTTTTCAATTGGAAGGGAGGAAAATTTCATGAAAGATGTCCGTTTGTTTCATTTGCCGGTGTCTCCAACCGCGTCATCTTCTTCCTTATTCTACAGGATGGTCCAGATGTCTTGTGACACCCCCCCCCTTCCCCCCACACAAATAATGTAACCCCAATGTTTTTCCCTTTTCATATTCCTTTCTGTTTTAAATAAACCACCTTACTTTCAAAATATTAAGTTTTTAAGAATTCAATTTGTGGGGGGGGGGGGGGGGTTATCACATGCCATCTGGACTACCCTCAACACGCAGTGCGATCGTATTGGGTATGTAACGATGCATCGACGAAAACGACGGTGTTACGTGATTCTAATAATACCTTTAATGGGTCGCACGGGTCAACTGACATTAGCAAAGCAGGTGTCGAGCATAAACTGCGTAATTAACTTTTAAATGTTGTGGTTTCACTTCCAGAAGTGAATCTTAGTTTGGGAAATAGCGTTTGATTATTTTTAACGATTCTTAAGCTGAAACACACGCATAAACATCACGGGTGTAAAAAATAATTTATATTTAAGGGGTGTATATACTGCTTTCTCCCGATATTAGGAAGCCACTAGAGCGATGCAATGTCTACTCGAGGTTGAAAACTAATTTCTTGAGAACTGCGTTTTGTGTTGGCTACGTACGGTGCGAAAGAAGTTCAACATTCAACGTAAGTAATGTATTTATTTGACTCCCTCCAGCCACTGGATGCCGCTACATTTGCACGAAGTAAACAACGAAAATAGATTCGACACAATTGTGTCGTAACCGTGCAGAATGTTGTTATTCTTGACGGCGGCGAATGGAATGTTATCGCAATTATTGAGATTAAACGCAAGAAAACACGGACAAAATACTTCTTACCTTGCCAGCTGTTGGTCCGACTGGCTTCTGTAGGTTACAGGTCGAATTAAGTAACCTGTGGCGAGGTTTATGACGGGAGAAAAGCACGTGCGTTTTGTTAAGATCCCTTTATGCGATTGCCAATGCATGAACCAACAGATGTCTTTCCGCGAGACAGCCAATTTAATGCCTTAGATACCAGAGGACCATAAATAATGCTAATCGCTTCCAAAGGTTCTCATTCATTCTCGGCCACTTAAAGTTTTCATTTAAGTAAGATGGAAATTACCGAAATATTTAATGAGTCACGCAAAAAAAGTGTCAGTTTATGAGTTGGTCAGCTGGAAAACATTACGGCGCTCATCAAAAACACTTGGCCGAGCCTTCTTGATCGAGAAGTGAGAAGTTTGCGCCTGAAGAAAATAAAAGCGGGTATGTGTATCTATCCCTGCACGCGTGAAACAACAACAACAACCGCACAAGTACCACCCCCCCCCCCCCCCCCCCAAAACTTGCAAACGTACACACTTCACGCTATGCGCACACAAACAACACTCCCCCACACGTAGTTTTTATTTACACAATACTTACTCCTCTTCATCCCCGATGGGACTTAAGGCTACAATGAGCCATCTCTCATATTCTTAGGTTTTTTCGGTAAAGTCACGGAGGTAAAAAATTTAAATTAACAAAAATTTATAAAAGTAAAATTAAAATAAAATTTTAAATCACGATAGCTGTATCACTTGATACAGATATCGTGCTGTGACGGTTCCACCTGAAGACGGAAGCTTGTGTTGCCTCCGAAACGTCGTGATTTTTATTTTATTTTTATTTTACTTTTATTAATTTTAATTTTTTACCTACGTGACTTTACCGAAAAAACCTAAGAATATGAATCCTTGCAGTCACGAAAACTTCAAATCTCGAGCCATCTCTCTTTCTCTCCATATTTTCATGTCCTTTGGCTCCGTGTTGTGCCTCTCACCATCGCGTCTTCATCTCGCCAGGCTCTATCGGTGACGGTGTTTCGTCGGGTGGTTTTTGGCCTCTTCGATTTTCTTTTGCCCGGGCGGGGGGGGGGGCTCCATCTCAGAGGAATTGTAGGGATGCGGTTACCGTTCCATTCTATAGAAATGGCCTGTCCATCGCAGTCTTCGTTGTTCGATCTCCGTCGCGATGTTCCTCGCTTCGGCTCCTCGCGGACAATTCACGTTTGTAAATTTTGTTTGGCCAAAATATACCGCAGATATTTCTGAGGCATTCATTGAGGAAGGGTCCTCTCGACCTTTGAACACAATCTGTACCCTTGACTTACGCAGCCGTTCTCGTCAATATAGAACGTACACAATAATGTTAATAAGAAGCAGATATTGTAGCCCACGACTTTACCAAAAAGCGACGACCTTCCCCCAAAGATGGGGGGATAGAAGATCGTCTCCACGACTGCTGACCCCAGCAAAATGTTTTTTTTTAATCCAATCAACAAACATATTTCATGTCTGTCAACCCCCTTATCAGTGCCTATCTTACTACAGACCAATTCAGACCTTATTGGTCACCCTGTGCCCTTATAAATCTCAACTTTCATCCTACCAAGTCCCATCATAAGGGAGAAACACAAACAAATAGACAAACACATTTTTGCCCGTATTGAAACGGGCTGTACGCCGTATGGAACCGAAATCTCAATTTCTTTGAACAAGAATACGGGGAAACCGTATGGGTCGATATTTGTATCCATTCATTCACCAGCTGATTTATCAAATCAAAATAAGCAGACAATCAGGATTTTCTCTCCTCATAATTTATCTCTACAACAGCAGCCGCCATTCGCCGCCAAGTGCCGGTGACGTCCCCACGGCACCTGTGCCAGGCTATGTGCACTTTAAGGCCACGTGAAGTGTCGAACGCTCGCTGGCAGTAGGTTTACGGGTCAGACCCAGGTGCCCATGGGTTGACTAACTGAGATGACTGGCAGATGCGCCACCTGTGCCCCATAATGTGCCAACTTCCTGTGCTTTAGCCACTCGGCGCTCCGCTCGTTGTTGTGAGCATCACTCCTCGATATACACGCAAAAAAAGCTTTTTTAACCAATAATATCGCCCCCCCCCCCCCCCCCCCACTCTGGGAGTGCTTTATTTCAGCTGAATCGGTTTAAGACTGGCACAAACCTCTGGACCGGTTTCGACATTCACCTTTATAACATCAGCGATCAGGATTGCCCTGCCAGGTATGTATCGGCAAGGACGTTCTCTGTTAGACATTGATCCTAGTTCGACGATACGTTATACTGGTAGTAACCACCTGGTTCCACCAGCCCACAGGGGATTATTGTGTCCGTCCGTCCGTCGTGCATCCAAAAATGGGAGGGGTAGGGCTGGATGGAGAGGGCAGGGTGGGGAGGGGAGGGTGTGGAGGGGCTGGGTGGGGAGGGTGGGGCTGGGTGGGGAGGGGCTGGACACCCCGTGGTGCCCTTATAAAACTCAACGTTTAACCTACTCACGCCGGCTTGTGCCCGCCCTCACAGTCGGGCATATTTGCGGAATACACCACGCCGCCGTTGACCCTGCAGGCCATTGACCGTGCAACCCAATGTTCCTACCAGCTCCCTCCACAGGAGTGTTATAAAACACAAACCACGACGGAGATTTTCTCAACCACATACTTTGATTTGCGCAGACCTTTAGAATTACTCCGTCCAGGGTTATTCAAACTCCAGTCCTCTCCGCGTTACAAATCTACTCCCCATTCAAACTAACTGGTTTCATTCTAGATTTGAAGCTTTCGTGACTGCAAGGATTCATACTCTTAGGTTTTTTTTCGGTAAAGTCACGTAGGTAAAAATAATTAATAGAAATAATAGAAATAATAATAGAAATAATAGAAATAAAATAATAAATCACGACGTTTCGGAGCCAAACACAAGTCTCCGTCATCAGGTGGGATCGTCACAGCTAAATTTACAGTTAAATTTACTGTAAATTTAGCTGTAACGATCCCACCTGATGACGGAGACTTGTGTTGCCTCCGAAACGTCGTGATTTATTATTTTATTTCTATTTCTAATTTACTGTAAATTTAGCTGTGACGATCCCACCTGATGACGGAGACTTGTGTTGCATTGTGTTGACTTGTGTTGCCTCCGAAACGTCGTGATTTATTATTTTATTTCTATTATTATTTTTATTATTTATTTTTACCGACGTGACTTTACCGAAAAAAACCCAAGAGTATAACTGGTTCCACCCTGCACGCGCCCGATGATTGTTAAACACGCCCCATGTAACGCGCTAATAATTCAATTAACGCCGCTTTATAAGAGCCTATTCAACTAAAATTGAGCGTGTAGCACGTGACGCAGGCAGCGTCAATTGCTCAGCGCGCCACGTGGGACGTGTTGAGCAATCATCGGGCGCGTGCAGCGCGGAACGAGTTGATGTGTATTTGAATTGGAGCAGTAAATCGTGAGGATTGGGGTCCAGGGAATCCCCGCCTTAATCCTTCCGTTGACGAAATGTAACACGACACCTGCTTTCTCGCGTTTTGGTGTTTAGATTTAGGGGTTAAACAGTTTGCAAACGACGTGCTTCCATCTCAAGGGATGATCCGGGTGAAAGATTTAAAAGCAAAAGGTATTAGGGTTACGGGTTTAAGTAAAAGTAGTGCCTTAGACCCGCTCTTCTTACCGCTGCATCTACCCCACGCCCCCCACCCCTAAGCGGCGCTTATCCTAAAGCATTTAAAACATACCTTGTGAACTCTATTCAGTCTTTCACCATCATCACAGTGACGAGAGTGGAGCAATGGCACGATACCGAAGATACCGTCGGTCAAGAACGGCGCGCGGGGGAGACGTCGTGGGAGATTTTTTTGTTTTCGTAATTTTATTTGGAAACGTTAAAATGTGTACGAGCACACAGTCGGGAGGGGGGGGGGGGCATAAATTATTGGCAAAGAACAACAGCCATGCCTTGGTGTGCACACGCACAATAAACGAACGCATTGACAGAAACAGAGGGGTTCAGAACAGAGAAATCCAAACTCAAACCCTCCCCCCTCCCCCTCAAATCGTTATAAAAAACCTTAAAACGTAACTCTTATAAATTATTGTACAATTTAACTTCACGCCGACGTTCTGCGCGGATTAACGTCGCCATTACTACGTTTCGCGTAACATAATCACGTAACTGTGATTATACACAAGCCTTGTTGCAACAATAAAGGGGGTAACGAAAAAGTACATTTTAATGCAATAAAAGAAAATGATCGCCAGGGGAATCGTTCGGTTACTTTTTGATTACTCGCGCAATCTCAAGAAAGGTCACGGTTTCAATCGGTGTGTAAAGTGTCCACAATCATTACAGTATTTTGATAAATCACGTATTGCGCTTACTGTAAATACCACAAGGTGTACGAACGTTGACGTCGTGCAGGGAACTGTGTCTGCTAAGGTGCTGGTTAAGAAACACAAATTAATCGCAAAAAAAACTGAATCAGAAAACGGCGTCAAGATACTGTGCAAATTAGCCACGTACACAGGACATCCATTACCGGCGAGACAAAGTAGCGTGATGGTTTATTCCAGTGTTGCTTTGACTTTCATTTCACAGGCAAACAAAACTCTTAAATTCCCTCCTCCAACCACCACTACCTAAAATTCCTGGGGCTTTAAATAAAAAAATGCACTTCCATGAACTTTCTGCGACTTTTTTTTCAATTGTTTACACGCAATAGCTTCTTTCTTCACTCGATGTGCTGGGGAACATTTGTCTAAGTAAACATTGCACAGGAGCCAAAATGCTCTACAAAATCAAGCTGCTGAATGCATAGAGCTTCAAAAGCAAGAAGCACGTTTGTAAGACTAGAAGAAACGTTTTAAAATGGGGTGGGTGGAAATAAAACACAGATGTCACATTAAAGTTCGTGGGCATTTCACACCGTTCCCAAGTGTAAATTTTGCCTGTAAAGGCTAACGTTTTACAACAACAAAAAAAAATCAACTGGCACAACGCAAACTCTGTATCTGTAATAAAAAGGAGTAAAGCTAATTGTACATACGCTTTCTTTAAGTTTAATATCTGCACCAACGTTCTCGTAAATCAAAAATGGGACGATTCCGAAATAAAGAGATCACACCGACGCACCAAAGCGCGCAAGACGAGAAGGAAACCTTGCGTTAAACCTTTACGATTCATAAACACAAGTTAGCAACGCTTATCATAATAAAGTGTACGTTTAATTTTTGCACATGCATTCGATTGACTCCAAAAATCCATCCAATAAAGTGCCTGCACGTCGAGGCCTGGGTTTGATTATGCTCCATTTAAAAATCTGGACATACAGTACTCTATAAAAACAAATGTTTCTCGAGCACTTGACATGTCCTTCCCGTTAAAACGTAACTGTCAAGAAAAAAACAGCGGGGTTCCGTAGACAGCCAGGACAACACGGAGAGAGATATGTATTCAAAAAGAAAGCCAGTGCGCCACTGTAACATTTATTTATCTCTAAGAAAAAAATATGCATCTCATTTTGAAAACCTGCAATATGCAAAAGAACACATGCCCTCAATGGCAAACTCAAAATGTGGAACATTTAATGGACGGACTTAAAATTGGCAGATCAGAGCGCTTTCAATCTCGCCCCTCCCCCACAAATTAAATCGTTTCTGTGTGTCGCTTTGGTGTCATCCCTTGTCAAGAAAAAAAGCCTTCAAACATGCATCATGTACACCAAGTAACACTAAAAGTATGTTTTTTTTAATGCCATAAAACGTACTAACTACCCTGTTCTAGTTTGCAAAATATGCTGAAGAAATCAACGTGGGTAATCAGCCAATTAAGTTGAGCCTCAGCGTGATGGTGACACTTAATGTATGAACAATACGAGATTGGCGCGCGACACCTTATTGAACTGCTGTGTAACAGAAAGCTAGTATTGTTAACAAATTGACACATTTTAAAATGCATTTAAAATGTCTTTTACTGTAAAACAAAACGTTACTGTGTCCATGTGTCCACAAATGGTAACTGACAAGTTTGATGCTTCGGGCTGTCATTTGGCCGCTATAATAACAAAAACATTCGGTACACAAGCAGGCAACCACAATCACGTGACATCATAGGTGGCTTCATTTTTTAAATAACAAGAGGGCCCATAAATGAAAAGATATGCAATCATATATTCGTAAAAAAACAGCATAAAAGTATTGATATGGTAATGCCAAAGCTTTCTCAAAACGTATCCAACATATTATTGCATGTTCCCTCAGGTGGTGAATGCCTGCGTGCTTTAGTAAGCCTGGCAGCAAACCATTGGTTAACCAGCGAGGTCTACAGGAACACCAGTACAGATATTTAATTGGAATTCACTGAAACTGGACTTTTCAACACCTAATATTTTCTCCTCCCAAGAAAACTTGCCGCCAAAGTAAAACCGACTTAGACTAGCACGTGAAGACCGTTGGTGCTGCAGAAGGTTATTTTATATTGGCTAACAGATTGACCTTGTTTCAAAAAGCTTCATTTCACGATTCTCCAGCAAGAAAAAAAATGCGTTCGATGCACGCTATTGCGATATTTCAAATCCAAGTGGTATCTTCTTATCATTTCTTCAAAGCGTTTCTAGCTTCAGCACTTAACCGTAAAGTGGGTCCCCCCCCCCGCCAACCCCCATGGAAATTGCAACGTTACAATCGATTTACTCAGCAGCCAGGGGAACATTCACTGTGGCATACCACGTCGCAGCGTTTGGCAAAAAACAGTAACGGACCTGGAGTCCTGATCGTCCCCATTGCTCTCGCGACCCTTGTGCGCACGAATAACGGTCAGCAGAAAATTACGCCGCATTTATGAAGCAAGTTTTCGTGAAATTTGTATAGCGAATATGCGCCGTGTTTACTGCGGTTAAAGTGTGATGTACGGTGATTTTAATGATTTCACTCTTATATTTCATAAATATCGATATTTCGGTAAAGTTTCCCGTTAACATGGGTCACGATAAAAAATAAATCCGCTTCAATGACAACAAACTGCGAGGTTAAGTTCTCCATTCTTTGGATAGGGTGAGAGACACGCACGGACCGAAAATAAGCTAAACCAGGGGCCACAATTCACGTATCCAGGCAGGGGACAGTCCAGTTGAATATCATTCACGAATGCTTCGAGGTGCCATCGCCCACGAAGCTCTCAAAAGACTGGAAGCAAACGACCACTCTGTCGTGTCTGCAAGCACAGCATCGAAGAGCCGAAGCCCATGCATTTACAAACAATACCGGACTGAAATAGCATTCTGGTCTCCAACCGTAAATTGTTTCTGTACGAATCCACATCAGCACATGGGGGGGGGAGGGGGGTTACTGTTTAATAGTGTTTGCCACAAGCCCCATATGTAAAAGCAAGGATTTCTCATTTGAGCTATACATGTCACACACATGTCACACACATGGAATGCTTATTGCAGAATATCACTTCCCCACCCAACTCTCCCCCCCCCCGCAAACCCCTTGCGCCACTGCCATCCCCCCTTCAAATAAAAACCCACCACCGTTCTTGACAGAAATCTGAACAGAAAACAACAAAAAAGTTGTGACCGATTTACAGAAATCACGCAAAGAAGCGACACGCGTCCACGTGTGTGAAACAATAAACACCTGTGCAGGTTCAACTATCACAGTGGCCCGCATGTCAAACATTATTTAGACATTTTTTCAATGCACTTAAGCACTTTACCACCCATCCAAATGTCATCTAATACAGTATTCCACTGCCAGAAATGTATTATCAGCCCAAGGTGGCAACGTGTTGCGGCAAAAACGGCGCAGACTCTGGCAGGACGAAAGCAGTTCAAAGCAAACTCCACGTAACTTCATCTGTGCACAGAGGGAACTGCAGGTGAGAGGGTTAAGGGGGAGGCTGGCATTTCCTGCCATTTATCATCTTATCCACGAGGCTTCACGTGTCCAAGCGTCCTTCCCCCCCAGTCTGCGCAGTGTCTCTTTTAAAGCGTTCGACAGGATTATAGGGTCTGTTATCCGACGCAGACGGGGGAATCAAAGCTTCCACAGGTCCTGTCGTGACCCCGGCTGATCCAGTGTCTGTTTAGTACTTATTCAGCCGGCCGTAGCAGGTGTAGCAGACTTGCACCGTCTCCTTTTGGGCATCTGGAGCTGTTAAGATAAAGAAAAGATGTCACGTGCACGCGGAGATATGCACACAGACACATTTAACAGACGTGTTATATCAACGACAGTACTCTTAAATAAATCGACACTTACTCCGGCACAATTGAATTGCTGGTGCAAGAGATGTGTTTTAATTACGAATCGGCACATTAAAGATGTTATTTTATTCCACGGCCAACAGTATTGTTATGGTGTTATTGCTTGTAAAGGAACAATTAATCACGAGTCATGCTCAAGAGCCACAATCCTCCATGGTAGCTTTTAATGTATTTTTTATTAAATGAAGAAAAAAAATACTTCTGTATATTTTTCATACGCTACTCAAATTGTCAATGACCTCAGTTTCGCCGATTACTTTAGTTGAAGAGATTTGTGCACCCCAATACCAGATAAACAAAATAAACCAAAGCTTACGTTCATAATGGCCAGCAGGTGCATTAAGACGATTTGGCAAAACAGAAAAATCATCCCATAAAGTCCGAATGCAACAAATGTTGAAGACATTAAAGGGATATTTAATGGGTGCCTAAAACACTGGGTTCCTTGAGATGGTGAGGGATAGGCGACAGGGGGAATTATGAGCTGCATTACAATATCCAGAACATGCGTACAAGTTTTTGTCTGAAATGCTGATGTTGGTGCCAATCTAAACAAAGCTGACATGCTCCAGTGAATCGGCCATTGGAAGGTATTCAGCAGAAAGCGCGGTCTCAAGGGTATCATTATATCGCCTTCTGCGCATTGAGTTCTGCTCCTTCATCTCCACGGTATATTCATTTACACTCGCAGTGTACTTCCAACAGCACACATTCGGCCATGCGAAGTTCGACAGCTACAACGCTTCAATGTCACAGCAATGACGGCCTATCAAACGCCGTACTCGACATGCAAGCACGCGTGCGTGCGTATATTCAAAAGGACTCTCCAAAAGCTACGTTGCGGGCAGTCCAACAAAATCCAATGTTGTACTGTACTCCGCTTCCCACCTTCACCAAACAGCACCGACAAATAAGCCCCCCCCCACTCACGCACGCAGAGACGCTCTCTCTCTCTCTCATCCGGCAGTGCATTGACAAGTAGGTGCGCACGTAACATCGAAACACGATGGTGAAACCCCATTGCTCGTCTTCCTATCAACAAGCTAAGTAACTACGACGTACAACTGTGAGTCACAACTGTTGGCGACTGTATCACCACAAGGTCACGCAGAGCCATTGGTTATCCAAAACGGCACAGCTGTTCTACATCTTCTGCGGCAGCTTCGATGAGCGTGCGAAGCGCGGTGCCACCAATGAAACCAAACTCGGATCTCACAATGCCGATCAAGTTCAGAAAAAACCCGAGTCCGCTTTATTCAGCCACCACCTTATGCCCAGTCCCCAACGAAGCGTGGAAAATGCAAGCCGGGGGCAGGCTCAAACGCCACGGCACGCAATTCCACAAATCGCTCATTCATTAGCAATGATACGTACTCAAAAGATTAAAATCGCACATTTGGAGAGATTCAGAATGTGATTTAATGAATGGCGCTGCTACAAATTACGCCGCAGGAATAATAAACACGGACGGCGGTGTGTGCGGCCCAACACAATTGTTTCAATATGACAAAGTTCAAACAAACTTTCTGCTGAATTCTGCTGAAGTTGTAATAAGCATAGCCACAGCAAGATTTATAGTTGCAGAACAGATGAGCGCTTACAGGGAAAGGCAATTGAACACAAGAGCAAAGCAGTGGCCTAAGTGATGCCACAAAGTATTTTATTTGGAGGAAATATTTTCCAATTATAACGCTCTTTTGAACAATTCACATGCAAAGGAGGCACATTATTAAACAAAAACGGCCGACTGTTAAATGCATTCTTCAGATTGCCAGATGCCCCCGGAAAGCAAGACTCATCCCCCACAAAATTGTGCCCGATGCCAATAAAGTTCTACAGATCTGGTCACTCGCAAGCCCTACCAGATTATAGGATGCGCAGCACCCCTCTGTACCCCCCCACTCCCCGAGTGAGAAAAAAAAGTGCATTGATCTGCACGATACAGGACTCGTTGAAGATTGAGTCGACCTAGAGGAGGATCAGGACACATCCCACGGTATGCCAATGGCATGTTGTCGTAGCTGTAGCACAGCGCACTAAGCACGATTACACCAGTGTGCCCTCCCCATTCCCTCCCACCACACACGCAGACATATGCCGAATGCACAGATGCGCTGAATGCCAAATTAATTGGCGTAATTTGATTTAAAAATAAATGTAGTTTCTGGCAGCGCATCTGGCATTGTGTTTTTCTCATTATTCAAAACCTCGTGTTTCGACGAGGCTAGAGAGTTAAACAAACTACCCAGGAACCCTCGCAACATTACTGCAGGCCACCCTTCACCTTGCAAAGATAATATTAACTGTTATTGTTATTCATAACAATTAACTTAATCTATTCATTTTAACACTGTCATTTTTACAGAGTTGGTTGCTTTGCTCCTGAGATGACAAAAACTCGTTTGAATATCTTTATTGATTCAGTTACTCCCCTCACGAGAACAGACAGGTTTATTACTCATGATCATCATCAGCCATGATCAATCCACTGCTGGATAAAGGCTTCCCCCCACCCCAAACCATCTCCATCTCTCACCATCCTGTGATGTAGCAATCAATCTACTATCTGCACCTTAGCTGATATCGTCGCTTCGTCTGCACAGTTGGACAACCTCTTGGGTGCTTTCCCTCCTTTGGCTGCCACACCATCATTGATCTTGCCCATCGGCCATCATTCCTACAAGTCCTGCCCAAGGCCACTTTACTTTATGAACTGTCAATAAGAGGTATCTGACGTACATACCCGATACTCTGACCAGTCACACCCAAACATACAGACACTAGACACCTAGGCAGGCGCTATAATAATACTTTCATGCAATTGCTAAGAGAGGACGTGACTGACCACAAACAGACAAGGCTGCGTGTCATGATAAGATATAGGAAGCAACATTTTAAATCTGCACAGAAAAATTACAATCTTTGGGATGACCAAAATATGCAAAGTCTGAGAGAACAGCCACATCAGCTTTTGTCTTTTCACACAGAAAATGGATGGCACTTGAATCGTAATCACAGTACTTTTATATAAACAACAACAACAAAAGACTGGTGAGCACAATTGGGACTTGCCAACGAATTCTAAACGACAGAAGTCACGTTCACGACACTGTACGGTGGTGCGTTGTTACCCTTCGCAGTGGACGGAGTTTACGCTCGGCGTTATGGATCGGTTTTGGTTGCAGTGTTGCGTTTCACCGAGTTTTAGCGGTAATCGTGGCTCAATTTTGCATTTGTGATATTTGTTTCCAAATTTATTTGAGCATTGCCAAGGACTTTTTTTTTTTACTGCTCGTTTCACTAAAAATAGCTTCGGCTCAGCGTACATTGAAAATCTGATTTCCATATGTGTGTGGGAGTAATGTCGTGGTTTGCTCCCTGCGCTACGAAACGAGAAATCCCGAGTTTGATTCCTGGCCACTGCCAACATCGCTGGCAAATATCAGAATCGGTCCTAGGCCTCCCCCTAGGTCAGCTCCATCTCATACGACTACCTGGTGTGGTGTCTTCACATCAGAACTGGGGAGACTAACGGTGGGCCGAGGCAGAGTGATAGCCACACCGTCGCTTCGCACGAGTCGGGCCTTGAAAACGAGCTTCTTAGCTCAATGGGCTTCGGAAGCGTGCGGAGCCAACCTTCATATGGTGACACCATCAGCACTTACCCCAAACAGTCCGTAAAGTCCAAACGGGGGAGGGGTGAAGCGTGTCGTTGTGTGCGGCGGTGGTTGGATGGCGAAACACCCACCTGTAGCCCCCATCGCCGATTTTGTCACGCGATAGTTGAGGCAGCGCGTGCAGAAGCCATTCCCACAGTTACTGCAGCTCCGCTGCAAACCACAAAGTGAAGAAGCGTTGTCCAAAAAACAACGCACCGCCAAACGCTCAACAAAGTGCCACGACCGTCACGTCACAACAACGCATTTCATAAGAAGCGGACATCAAAACATTATGACAGCGTAACGCTTATTAATTCACATCATCTTTCGTCTCAAGAGGCCCGTTTGGTGTGCTTAACATATTCCAAAATACATTCTTACGCGTTACGAATAGTTACAATAAAAATGAAGGTATTATCAGCCCGTGTGAACTATGGCCTATGACCAAAGCACCCTGAAGAGATATCTTCTTGTCAGTTCTCAGAAGCTATGCAGAGTTGAGCCTGGACAACGCTAGGATGCTCAAGAATGTGCGTTGGGCTGTCACGACGGTTACATTGTGGACAGCAACAGCAACGCAGAAAAAAACCTCTTTGTTGTACTGTACTATGGCCCACCATATCTATGCTCCCCACTTTCAACAACTCACACTGACCAGTGTGGTGAAGCGTAGGGAGGCCCTTATCCATGAAAATGCATGTCCTATTTGTACTCAGTTCTTGTATGCCATAGCACGTCTTCATGGAACAAACCAAAAAATATCAAGTGTCCCGAAGTTTGGTTCAATTTAGTTTTCAAAATTTTTTAACGCAATTTTGTTTTCAGAAAATTGGCAGCGCACGCGCGCCGATGTTTAATACTCACCCGTTTCTTTAGCACTGAGAAATTGTTACTGCACGAAGTACACGTTCCTGCAACAGAGCAAGAGTTTACACAATTAGAATTGTGACTTACAGCAATAAAATCCAATTGCAGCGGTAATGCGAACAGCTCGCATTCGAAAGTTGTGCGTTCATATCTCAGTCGGGGGGGGTGGGGTTCAACCCTGCTCCTTCATCCCTCTCCAGGGTGGATAAAATAAGTACCGCGTTGTGGAGCATGTGGAATTTCAATCAGCGCTCACTCAAGCGAGAAACCACTTCGGCTATCGACTTTCTTTCACAATGAGTGACGGAATATATTTCAAATAGACGAACCCACGAATCAACATGGTGCTATTAATATACTGCGCCTTGCGTATTGCTTTATTCCCCAGGTATCCCAAGTAAAATCAACATGTCTCCGTGGAATCTCACCTGGTTTAAATTGGATTAAGAAAAACAAACCACTAAATATTTAATTTAAAAGTATACCATGACTTATTTTTTCGTAACTATCAAAGTGGTTATTTAAAACTATTCAAGCATATAAAAATGGAAACCTGCAGACTCTATAAATAAAGGAAACTTTAAAAAACGCATGCCCCCCCCCCCCCCCCTTTCCACATGTTAACGTTTGTCTTAACATCCTATTCTCAATAAGGCCTACATACAACACTCTGCGCTCCGAATGCTTCAAATATTAATTAACGTGACTGGACGGCATAGCCGCCACTAAGCACAAGTCTGCAAGAACCATCTGGCCAATTTAGTCAAAAACAAAAAACCCAAGCAATATTATTCCATTCATATTTTGTTTCCGATGCATAATTTTATATGAGGGTCGAAAAATAAAGTCGCAAATGTTAATGGCGGAGCAACAAAAAGTCTGACTCGGGGTTACAATTATATTTAATAAAGACATCCTGGCCGGCTCGTTTGAATGCCTGTTAGTTTAAGAGTGCTGCCAAATTCATTTCGTGAAGCAACGGTGCTCCGGCACACAGAGGTTACACAGCCCAAAGCCAGATCTTTTCCTAATGCAAGCGGATGCAGCATTAGCATCCGTGAACGACTCTGGGATTAACTATCAAATGGGAATTGCATTTCCCTCTACCAAGGCGACACAACACTTGGGAAACTATGCACTGGTATGTGTTGCCTTTTGCACATTTTTGAATATGGCATTTGCTCACAGAATCCAATTTTGATGGCCATGTACCTTTTTTCGTTTAAAACTATTTTCTTTCCGTAATCTAATCAGTAAGTCGAAAGCTGGTCCCAGTAGCTGCAAGTACTTGCTCTGTGTTTTCGTCAAGGAGCATAAACCATCATCACGCAACCTACGGTCATTCTCGAAGCGGCTTTTGGCAAACTATTGAACAAAGACAGACACTGCATCGCGGGCTTTCAGATGCGCGTCTGCGGATGTCTGGAACGCTCTTCCTTCCGATATTAGAAAGTCACTGGAGCTATGCACTTTTAAATCTAGATTGAAAACGAAACTGCAGTTAGTTTGTTGTCCTTCCCCCGCACCTCCGTTTAGCACGGTTGCCTATGTATGGTGCGAAAGAAGTTCAACATAGGTCAATACAAGAGAAGGCATCGTGGCATTATGCAACATCGGCACAGTGACTTAACTCGGCTCTGGCCCACAGAAACATATTAAACTCTCAATTTTTCCACCACGTTCAGCGTGGCATTATGTTATTACGAGATAATTTAACCTTTGACGATCAATGATCGTCGCATTTTCTAAAATCATCTGGACTTTTTCTGCATCTAACTGCCGTGTAATTTATTACACACACACACAGTAGTGAAACGTTGTGACCTGCATTTTGCAACAGCACGTCATTTCTAAAACATTTGTGCAAATAAATGTCTGCAGTTTTTCCTCACCACATCATAACTCTATGCAATAAGTGTAATTTAGTAATTAATGTGGGACCAGGCATTACTTGAAGGCAGCGGTTGGCGAACGAGCAGCCGGCGGGCCGGATTTCAATTCACGCGGCCCCTGTGGCCACTTGAGGCCTTAATGCTTCAAAACAGCCCATACAACAATATTTATCCGTCGCTACAGACATCTCGGCCACAGGAATATTTTCGACCTGGCACCGTCGAGTTTATAAATTTACTGCCGTGATTCCGTCACTGCAAAGGCCTCCTTTGCGCTTGGTCGACGAGCACGTTAACTTTTAATGTTCTTTTTTTATTACACTTAATGCGTGCCCGCCAAATGCATTGAACACTTTCCCATGTCGAGACGTCTGCAAGTTGCAGGGTGGGTGTCCCGTTCACCGCTGAATCTCGGAACGCGCAAGGGGTTAGCGTTAATTTTATTCAGAGAGGCGTAGCGCTGCTGTTATAAAATATATTTTACTGTGCTCGCCGCAGAGAACTGTAGCGACACGACCGCACTTGACGATAGCTGGCGTCAAACTGCCACGCGCGCTCCCGCATGGACTTTGACTTCCGATTCCGAGTGCAATCGACACAATTCTATTTGGAATCGTACGCTTACATCATCGGAATGGAATAGGAATAAAAACTGATGACGTACACATACATCATCAGAACGGGAAAGGGTAAAAAGCTTATTCCTCCCTCATTAAGGAAAAAGGTTTCCCACCTGTGGTGTATATCCATAAGCACAATGTGTTTATACGTACTGCTGTATATACACTAGGTGATTTATTTCTGAATACCCCACTGATTTCTCGCAACCAGATTACTTTCTTGGCTGTAGACAATTTACACGAGCTACATTGGACAAGGTGTACCAGGAGAATTGCTACATTGTTTAATAAGTGTATGGGGAGAGTGATGGAAGACTGCAGAGGCTTTAAAATAAAATGTAGGCTGTGCGATTGTTGTAGTCAGCTGGTAACTTCTCACTGCTGAGCAAAAGTCCTCCCCTCCCCCAGTTTCTTCCATTCACTCCTCTCCCTGGTTACTCCGATCCAGCAGTGGACACCAAACTCTGTGATGTTGTCTCTCCGTCATCTCTTCTCCCTTCGTCTTCCTCCGCTTCCTTTGGCTTCTCTCAGTATCCACCCTTCCTCTCAGTCACACCACCAATTAGCACGGTTGGCTACGTACGGTGCGAAAGACGTTCAACATACAAACATACACCCTATAGTCAATATTGCCTCTCATCTCACGTCAGCCGTTCTCATGGTATGTCCTGTTTAGTTCCACTCGATTTCCTTTGCGTTATCAGCAGCATCGGTGATCCCAGTTCTTTTCCTTATTTCGTTATTCCGTAACCTATCTGCTCGATGTATTCCGAACATCCAAAGTTCTTTGGCCAACTTATAGCTCCGTCTTTGTTTTTTTCCTGTAACTCGTTTTCTCTATCATTTCTCCCCACTATGTTTACGGGGTACTTGTATAAATGCATCACGCTATGCATATATATATATGTGTGGCACAAGGAGCCGCCAGCCAATTCATTTCTCAACTGTTAAGGTTTTCTGCCCCTCTTGGCAGAGGGGGGCTCCAGTGAGGAGGCGGCTGCTGCTAGCGAGCTGTGGGTCAGGGTGCTAACAACAGGAAAACACCTCCAGGGACTCGACTTGCTGCGGGATTCCCATTTCCTCCCGCTAATATTAATGACTAGCGTCTGTTTGCTTGAGGTGGTCCTGTCTGTAAAAAAACGGGGGTGGAGGAGGGGGTGGGGTTTGTGCTTCATAGAAAGACATTTATTTTTTCTCCAGTTATTAATATCCTCTCCACATGCTACAGACATCACAGTGGCAAATCCGTACGGCCACGCCGACTTGTAACAGGATCGCACTCAAGGTGGGGAACCAGTCTCTTTTCTTGTTCTTCCCTAACCTCGGCAGTGTTATTCGTATTATATTATAATTACTGCAGTGTTCATTGATGGGATGGGGGGGGGGGGGTAGCTGGGTGGCCCGAGATGTAATGCAACTACTTCTGCATTCAAAGTGGGCCTCGTCGGCAAACCGCCTCCCCGCATTTCAAAGTAGCGGAGTTGACACAACATGTCCCGCTCCGTCCATTCTATTCGCCATTTCCAGACTGATTTCGTATTCCCCGCCGAGCGACTCGCGCCGAGTCGGTGTGCGCACGGTAAAAGCGAGCGGACAATTTCCTGGTAGGTTTTTATTTTCGGAAACAAAGGGCAAAAATTATTATAACATCTTGGCCCGCTTCTAAATGGCGTCCCCCCACATGCCAACTCTGGTATGATTGTATGTTTTTAATATATTTCTAGAAATGTTTTACGAGCCTTGTACACGTGCAGCTCTCTTTGCCAATTCAACGCGTGAGGAGGGCCTCCCTCACACGCTGTGGGTCATCGGAGTCACGTGGCCAAATTTCACCATGGTGGTTGGTGAAGGTGGGCGGCAATAGACGATGAAGCATAGTACAGTACAATTTATTTTGCTGCACTGCCCTCTGCTGACAACGCAGACCCACAGGTCTACAACAGCTGTTTTATGTCTGGTGGTGAATAACCCAAGCACTATATCCAGGCTCAAGCTTACGAGATCAACAGACATGACAAATACCATATGTAAAATTATTACTATAATATTAAAACCTATCCAAATATAAAATATCAGAATTCCAACCCAGTGTTTTTTAAATCACAAATCGTAAAACAAAAACTGTCTTCACTCTTTCACAATTGTTCGAATGAGACTTCTGGAGTTACTTCACCCTTAATTGTCATAATTATTTTACTGTACATGCTGTATAATAGAATACAACTGCACATAAGAGGTCAATTAAGACTGCGCTTTTTCAGAACTCCAAAAGGAACATCATCTTCAGTACACCCAGTGTCAAATGCCAAAACAGAATTCCCATCAAATCACAACTACCTGGCAGGTGTTGACTAAATTAATTCGATCTCCACTCATCGGTCGGTATCCACCATTTCACGAAGAAGAAAAAAAAGAAACTGACGCCGTTTTCTCGTCTAAAACAAGTTGATGCCGGAGCATATTTCCAACGTGCCCCAAAATGCATAACTTTGGAGGAAAGCCGCATCGCAATAAAACTTCGCAGACCGTCCGGGGGACTGACACTCAACGATGCGTGTAATGGGCCTTGCTGGCCGCTGTCCCGGAACAGACGAAAGTCAGATGCAAAGTTTTGCCGTACTTCCCCCAGCTCGTCAGCCGCAGTGTCTGCCGATTAATCAACGTTGCCAGAGGAGGCCGCGGCACTAAAGGGACGAAAAAAAATAGCAGAAAAAATTCCTCCCCAAGTGCAAGGCTGTCAATGTGCACACCCTATGTGAGTGAGGGGGGGGGAGTAAAACTGGAGTGCCGGATTTAGGTGACCTGAGGGGGGGGGGGTTAGGGGGGCCAGGGTGCTGGGGTGGTGGTGGTGGGGGGCGGGACAACTTTGGTTACAGCGAAAAGACTCCGAATCTGCCGCACAACGCTGCAAAGTCATGTCATGCCGTTGTGGAATTCAATTAAAGCAACAAAAAAAACCTCGAAATCCTGTTACGTTCTTATATCGGTGTACAGCGCCAACGATGACCTGAGCGTCCGCAAAGGTGAGAAGCGAAATAATTTCCTTGGGGTTGGGGCTTGAAGATAGTTGGTAAAGTAACGTAGAAGGGAAATAATTAAATATAACACAATAAAATGCTATTGTTTTATATTTTCATTTTTTTATTATTTCCCTTCTACGTGACTTTACCGAAAGAACCAAGAAAATGAATCCCCGCAGTCACGAAAGCTTTAAATCAAAATGAAGATAGTTATTTACTTATTTGTGTCACTCGTGCCACAGAAGCACAAGGGAGGGGGGGGGGGAACACAGGAAATCTGTCTTTTTTGGTTTTTAGTCGCATGTGGTAGTGTGAGCCGAGTCCCCAAAGTTTGGCAAAAGTTCTAATCGCCACGTGTTGCTATTGTCCAGACACCTTCAGAGCCGCAATATTAATGAGGAGCCCACGAGCAATGTATGTGTGATTTGTCTCCAGTCTTTCTTTTGAATCATCCCCCTGCCAACATACACACAAATGTTTAAATGTAAGTATACATGCAAATATATACTAAACGTCTTTGTGTTTATTGTAATGCAGGTCTGAGCATGTGGGAACAATTGACTCTTTTGCAATGGGATAAACGCTTTAGGAAGTTTTAGAAGAACATGCATTTTTAAAGCCTATAATCAGCATTAATTTAGTTTAGTAAGGAAAATACGTTTTTTTGTTTTAAGTTGCAAGATGTAAATATAACGCACGCACACAAATATATACAATAGATTTTGCTGCAACGTCAGCCTTAAAAATCACTCGCATGCGCTGTGACATGAACTGCTGTTAAATTATAGTTTTAACAGGGTGGTATTAAATGCTGTACATACTTTAAATAAAAAAAAACAACAATCTGACTGGCACATGTCCCAGATAGGGCCAATGACCCCACACAACGGCTGGACTTGCCATGTTTGCCTTTACAGAGTCTGGCAAGGCAGCAATAAATCACATTCCCAGCACGCTGTCGGGAAAGGCTGCAACACACGCGGACAAATCGCTCCCTCTACGCACGACTGTCAGTGTGGCTCCGCGGGGAATACACCCCCATTATTAGCGCAAAGATCTCACTGCCCAGCGTACACGGACGAGGTGGGAAATAATGCAATGCAGCTTTCTCCCTCTCTCTCTCTCTCTCCATGTCACACATTAAAGCTCGAACATTACCAGCGTTCGTCTCGCAGTGTCCTGGTTGGAACTTGAGCGGCCCAGCTTAACGACGACGACCGATCAACTACGATGCCACGGCCATAAGTCGGTACGATAATACCAACATGGTGGGGGGGAGGGGGGAGGTAGTGGAAAATCAGCGTTACAGCTACCGTAGGCTCTTTCCTGCTGCTTACCTTCACATTTTTTTGTACAAGTGTTATCCAATTTCCACTGTGAAATATCTGGTGCCAAAATGACTTTACGCCGAGAGGTTATGAAGGTTACGTGTAAAGGAAGAAAGGAAGGGGGGGGGATCCTAAAAAAATACATTCTTTGCGTCAGGCAACCCCCAAGACGGATTTGCGGTTATCACACCCAGGATTAGCGGAAACAAAGCGATCTGTCCTTGACAGGCACCCGATGACAGACCTTGTAAAGAGAATTACTCCTTGCAGGGTTTTAGAGTTTTTTTCGTTGTTGCACTTACCTCATTGCAAGGCAATATCAACTCTTCCCAAAGGTCACAGCACAACAGCTGGCCCCCAGCGGGTCAGATATCGACGCTGATGAAAAATGTTGACTTACATTGTTACTGCTGGCAGAGGACAGGCTATGGGGGAGGGATACAAGTAGGATTTTGCTACCTGTTTTATTACACAGCCTATCCTGAAAGTGGGCCCTTGATAGTTATTATAGTTTGACGTGTTGGATTCAACTACAAAGATATTATGAAACCTTATACACATCTATATGATCCTTGCATATTTTTTTTTACATGAACGTTTCTCCATTCCGACATCCTAACTTGTTTTTAGAAGGGGCCACATTTTAATCTTCCTACGTCCGAATAAAGAAAGTTTGGTGTGGGAAAGGCCCTCATCCAGAAAGACAAAATGGCTGTACTTACTTAACATGTTTCAGTGTGTTACTTATACGTCGCTCGACTAATTCCAATTCTAACGAGCAACTGCACAATGGAAATCACTTAGCCTAATTAGTCTAATGAGACTTGGAATGTGGGCTTGAGTCAGCAGTGTAGACTCCGCGCTTTAGAAACAAGAAGGCTTGGAATTAATCTACGAGAGGGATGACTGAACTTCAGCTCTGTTGAGCAATTAAAAAGCATACATTTCCCCAAGCCTTAACCAGAGACAATGCACAGTTATTTAGCAAAACGAACCATCTTATCCAGTTGTGTCTTGAGCGATGGTTGTAACCCTGTGGCTTACAATTTGTTTACAATATTCGCAATGACTTGTCTGCACTAACTGTCCTTCTTCCGGTGACACTTTTATTAAAAATGTAATCGCACTTAGGCATGTAATGCATCGGTGTATCTTTGTCCAATACCAGACAAATACGGTGACTGATCACCAGGAACGTATTTCAGACACACAGCATACACAACTGTGTTCGGTATGTTAATAGAGTAACAACTGGTTCAAGTAACAAGAGGCCTCCGAGATGAAACTGGGTGGCTCATGTCAACTGAAGATTGAATAACAGCACTTGGTAAAAATTACAAACGGCAAGCACCCAAAAGGGATTCCCCCACCCCTCATACAGGAGGTTAACAACTCGGGTGAGTAATTATTAACGGTTAAAGCATCTGATTAATTGCTGAAATAAAATAAAATGTAAGTCCATCAATTTGTCAGAACTGCTGTCCCACTGGCCAAGGCTGCAACGCATTCAGCCACACATGAGACCCCCCCCCACCCAAGGAAACTGAAACTATGCGTTTGTATATTCACACCTGGACATGACCTAATATTTCTTACATTTCATTCACCATAAACCTGATGTTGCAGTAACCGCTCAATTTTCATCCATTGATCGTGTTATTTAGGTTTAAGCACTTTCACGGCCTTCGTTTGAACACCAACACATTCACTGCTTTTTTTCACCCACTCACTCCCCGGTGCTGAGAGAGGAGCGGGCGAAGTGAGTGTGTTGCCGATAGAGCCCTCAAAGAGAAAAGTGAGGATACACTTTGTTATTTAAAACTTCCATATGCTGTGCTCAGACACGTAACTCTCGGTTAGAGGAATGCCCTGACACTGTGAAAAAAATAAAGAAAAACACCCCACTTAGAAATTCACCAAGTAGGAGGATTTGACCAGGCGAGATTTTACTGTCCTGGAAAATATAATCCAGAGCTGAGGGGGTTATCACTCTTGCTCTTATCTCAGGAGTACTATGAGATATTTTAATGCTTAAGGAGACAAGACATGGGTTTAATGTCTCACCTGGTTAAACAAAACACCTCCTACAGCAGCGCCCCCCATACCCATACTGTAAATCACAGAGACAAGTATTCTCCCTCCTGCAAAAAACCACCTGCGGTCACAGAGCGTGCAGGCATCCTCCCACGGACAGCCAGATCCGTCTCTATCTACCAGACTTCACGTGCTCTTCGGCTCCAGTGGCCAAAGCCCTCTGTCGAAACCCTCAGTGAACCTCTTCTTCTCAACTGCAGGTGCCCCTTCCTCTCAGACGATGCCCCTTTCGCCTGCAATATACCGTGTTCAATTAAAATCAAGAAACCAACTGTAGAGAATCTTTCGTACCAAGAAATCCCTCCCCGTACAGCCATAAGTAATGTCACCGTAACTGCATGGCTTGATACTCAAAAACCTGAAACCCAGTCTCCCAGAGTCTTATAATCCCAAATGATATCATAGAACCCCAGGTGCAATGCAATTTTCCATACATCCTGCCATAGCGATGTGCACCGTGAGCCGAAGCAATTCCTTTTTATCCTCAGATCTGGATTTTTTGCCAATTTAAATGAAGTCTCGTACTGAATATGCATGCGATGCTCACCGCTGGTGCTGGTGGGGTAGTGCCTGCGCTTCAGTTCGGCAAGCTTGGAGGCCACCTTGTAGCGAATGGGCTCAGGAATTCTGGCAGGGGGCCCTCCGTTGTCCAGTGGCACCATGTCCTGGTCGCCAGAGCTCGAGTGGCTGTCTTCGTCGCCCTGCCCACGAGATGATGCACGCCGTCACACGCCGTCACACTGGCTACCTGGGCACACTTAAGGCCAGTGGTGCAAGCATTGGTTTGTGAGCAATTTTGAAAGACACTTCTTTATATTGTATTTACTTTGTTTTCACAAATGTGCTCGCAGCAGTGTGAAGGACCCGAGTTGGATTCCTCATTACGGTGCCTTTCTGTGTGGAGTGTGTACGTTCTCCCCCTGTTATGCATGGGTTTCCTCCATGTAATTGGGTGGTTTCAGATGCGCTCCCGTGGCCGTCTGGAACGCTCTTCCTTCCGATATTAGAAAGCCACTGGAGCTATATACCTTTAAATCTAGATGAATACTTATTTCTTTAGAACTGCTTTTTGTGTTTCATTTATTGTCCTTCCCCCCGCACCTCCAATCAGCACGGTTGGCTACGTACGGCGCAAAAGAAGTTCAACATACGTACAACATATATGGCAAAATATACCAATTCAGGACCCTCCTGAAATCGAGTCGTCAGACTCAGTGTGGCTTTTCTGGGTAAATAATTAATCAAAAAAATTCCCAGATATATATAAAGAAAGCTACACAGTTTTAACATTTTTTTTCTATCACATCTACAAGCACTTAACGTGGGTAGGTTTTTTTTAAATAACTGCTGTTTATCTAAGTGTGCATAGGACTATTTCAAGTTGGACTTGTGTGGTTCAACACAAATGGGAAAACGCATGGGTAATTAGTCATACAAAGGGAACCTATGGAGCTAAAGGGACTTTTAAAAAAACACCCTAAAACACCGTGTAAATACAGGGTAAATGTAAAATGACAAGCCAAATTAGAGGGAATATTTAGCATCAAGAAATCCCTACCCCTACAGCCATAAATACTGCCGCTATCTTCTCATCTATTGCCATGTAAAGTAAGTAAGCATACTAGATTTTTTTTTAACAACTGCTGTTTACCTAAGTGCATGGGGCTATTTTTCAAAATAATGAGCGGTCCTTCTACATGTGACTCTTGTTCTGCATAACCACTTCTCTACGCTTTCAAAGAACTTCCCCAAATAAGCCCGGTCTCGTGACAGATTGATTTTGTTTTTGCCCATATATTTTGCAGCAAACACACATTTAAGGGGGTCATTTTGTCAAATTTGTGAATCTTCGTTATGTTTATGCACCGTCGAATGACATTTTGCCATGAGTGGAATTGATTTCTGTCTGTCACAATTCTTAACGAGTGATTTATCGTTTTTGGGACTCCCTCTGGCTTATTCTCTTATCAAATGTGCAGATTTTGAAGGAGCTCTTGAGATACGAAAGCACAGTAATACAAATCCCAACTAAAAAGATTGTTTCAAAGTCACAGAATATAATTTTCATGACATTATAACAGTTTTACCATCATCTCTTGCCATAACATTTCTACTCCAATGAGCTCAGGTCACTGAAGGAGGTGAAATAATAGTTGAGACATTTATGGAAAATTTCACCATCAGGTGTGAAAGTGACAACCACATTCAATTAGGATCACCTGATTGATAAAAACTGAGAGCTTTTAAAAACTGGCAAAACATTCAATCTGCCAAGTCAAATAACCTATAATTAAAACTGATTAATTTTATAACAGTGTACCTTTTTGTGAATTACTTAAATAAAATTATAGTTTTCAGCCCTTTGTCAATCCACTGCTGGATCAAGGTCAACTGCTCACTGTGTCAGTCATAGGAATTGTTTAACCATACTTCACCACGATGGTCAAGTCAAGTTTATTTCACCAGGTGGGAACTCAAGAGACAAGGATAGTCTCATTTGCAAGGGTTACTTGGTCAATGTGGGTTGATGAAGTTGGGAGCCAAAGACCGGTTCTGATATCACGAGCCATTGATGTTAACCGTGACTGGGAATCGAACTCAGGTCGCCGGGTTCATAGTGCAGTGCAAACCCCTATCTTTAATTGTACAGGAATAAAATAATGAACAAAAATAAAAAAATAACTATTAGACAGCATTTATCAACAAGACATCCCCTTTCGATTTAAAGCTTTCGTGACTGCAGGGATTCATCTTCTTGGTTCTTTTGGTAAAGTCACGTAGACTCTGTCTTCTCGACAGACCTGTTCTTCACCTGAGGACGGCTGCTTGCGTTGTGGCCGAAACGTCGTGAGAATTATTTTATTATATTTTATTTTTATTATTTTATTACTTCCCTTCTACGTGACTTTACCGAAAGAACCGAGAAGAAGACATCCCCTATAAAATGTTCTCAATGACAGAAGCCACTAACAAATTACGAAAAAAATGAATTCATAACATAAATAGAATAACTTATTAAATAAATATATTAGTTAACGTGTGTTTTTTTAGAGTAATGCACTGATGAAAGAGGTAACTGGCGGTGTGGGAATAGTGAGTGGGAAATGCAGAGAGGGGAGCAGGCTGGGAAGTTCAGTCGTATTTTTCCACAGGAAGGCAACACAGCTGCTGAATCAGCAGCCGTGAAACCAGACTTTCTCCCCGTCCACCACCTTTCACACAGCTCCGAGGTTTTTTTATTTATAATTTAGTTTTGTTTGCCGTCAGGAGCACAGCTTCTGTGCCGAGTTAACCAAAGCAAAGTTCACTCGAACCTATGACCAAGTAACCGTAAATGCACCCGGCTTCATGAGGTGTCTGGTGGCAAGCAGGGTCGAGCCCAGTTGGTGTTTAGTTGGGTAAACCATCCCCAGGTGTTGTGAAATGGCCAAGGGATGGCACCGGTGATTCTCACCCCGTTGTATGCGTGGTGGAGTTCATCTGGGTATTTTTCGGTAAAGTAATGTAGGTAAAAACAATAAGTAAATTAAATAATAATGAAAATTATATTTTACCTACGTGACTTTACTGAAAAAACCTAAGAATATGAATCCTTGCAGTCACGAAAGCTTCATATCTAGAAGCTTCAAATCTAGAATTCATCTGGCTACTCGGGTCTCCTTCCACGTTAAGTCAAAGCCTCATTAAAACGGAGCTGGGCGAAGATCCCCATGTAGGACATCTCAAGAAGTCTTCCTATAGATAGAGACTCGGTGAGGCTTTGCTGAATAAATAACGTACATTATTGTCATTAATATTAAACTGAGGGCTCCACCGTAAAAAAACACTAACAGTGTAGGTGTTTTAAGTTCTGCTGTATAGCTCTCCAATTTGTTTGAAATGTACCACGTGTTGTTTGGAATGAAATTCGATGTCACGCACCAAACGTTGGGCTTCGTTCAGGAACAAAGCGGTAGACTTATGTCAAATAACATGTGGTACAAGCAGGAAACATATCAGAAAGCTACCCTAAGGTATCCCTCGGAGCGAGAAAGACAAGTGACAAAGCAGCCAGGTAAGGATATGCTCCAGTAAATGAGAGGAACTGGAAAGCTTGGCTCTGAAAATATCCAACATTGAATGGAGCAAATTGTGCTGCGAGGATTGCATGATGCGTTTTCTAATAGGGCCACAGAGGGATATGCATGCAAGATGCACACCGCAAATGCACCCACTTGTGTTGTCAGTTTATCTCATCAACAGCTAAGTGACGGAAAAATAAGCGACGTAATAAAAAATGCCAACAAAAAATACACATTTCAAAATGAACAAAAGAGTGCAACGGAGGTAAATTAAATTGTCACATTCTTAATATTTACTAAGTTTTTATATTTTTAAATGTTTATATGCATGGTGTTTGCATGAGCTGCAAGCATATAACATGCTGCTGTATGGTGATAATAATACTAAAATTCATGCCTTAATTTCCAGAAGAATAACTAATTTCAGGAGTGTCTAGCATTATGATTTTAGGTCAATTTAATAAATGGGCATTTATGATTAAAGTAGGATAGAATTTCTTAAATTGCTCACGGACTGGTCAAATTTACCACGGCTTTGATTGGATATGGCTTTATTCATCAGCAGCCAGTGACACACAAGGGGATGGCACAAGAGGGCATGGGTCAATAATTGGCCTACTCTTTAAAGCAGTGTGACATTTTTTTACGGCTAGTGATTGACATTTTATTGAGACGCTTACGACGCTGCAAAAATTAGAGTTAAAAATCACAAATATATCTGCAGCTGAAATTTGAACGTTTTTAAAATTACGATATTTATGAAGCCCTTTTTTTTAACAAGCGGCTTTTAGAAAACAAAGAATGCATCGTCAACATCTGCGAGGAAACGTGATCATGCAGGTTACTAAATGTTCTTAAAGCGGCCCCAGATAATCTTACCGCAGATCAAGTCGCTGTGTTTACACAGCCTGGCCCGTCTGCTTTGTGCCAGTGTCACACGCCACACTAATAATCAGAACCACCTTCCTACCACGGGAAGTTTGGGAAATTGTGTCCCTGAGCTGTAATCACCTTAATTGCATTTCCAATTAATACCATCTGCATCGAGTTGATCATCTGCTGTTTAAAAAAAAAACTAACCACAAAGGTATTCCATATTCATTTGATTAGTCACAGCACCGCAACAGGGCTGCACCCCTTTTCTGAAATGAGTGTTCCAAGCCATTTGCAATGATTAACGGTGATGTAGATTTCTTTTACCCACCAACCACGGCACATTAAATGCTAATCACAAACGGTAACTGTGAAGCTCATGCCATCCTCTGAGGGGTTTGCGTTTTGTTCGCCCAATTGTATATTTGAACATAGCCGATATCCAAATATCGAGATGCCTACGTTTTGGTGCAGAATGTACGATTTTCACGAACGCGTTAAATAGGCTACAACCTTTTGCTCTGTATTCAAATGCAATAAGCACAGTCATCACACGCCCCCTATACATTGCAAATCGTGAACACTAATATCGGTATTAAAACTCGAATTCATTCCGACGCAGACAACGCAACCTTGCGATGCGTAATGAAACCTAGAGTCAGTCGCCCAGTCTCGTATTTTTTCACAATACACAGCTTAAACGCAGTGTCTTAAAGCAAAGACCTGGAAGTTATTTACCAACTTTCTTACAGAGCACACGGGGGGAAAGTATGTTACTCTATACCACATATTAGAAAACAGAGGGCAAAAAAACAACACAAGCAACGAACCACGCCATTATTAAACTTAAATTGAGCATGATTACTTACCAACACAGGCAGCATCCTCTCCTTTGCAAGTGCAACAGTGAGCAGCACAAAAAAAGAGAGAATCGCTATTTAATGGGTACAACAAAGCGTCAGAAACGCCTGTGCAAATATTTAAAATAAACATGCAACCGAGGATCTGACGAGCAGAGAAAGGAAGTAATATGCGAAGATATAATTTCTAGCGTTGCTCGATTTGAAATCACGTTTTGAAGAAAAGTACAATGGGATGCAAACCAAAATCCCATCTATCCATGACTCCTCATTAGAGTGGACATGTAGCACGTCTAATTTTAGCCCAGCGCTCCCAAAAGAAGATGGACACCACTCCATTGCCTTCTGCAACCATCATCGTCAGCCAAGGCCTATCCACTTCTGGATGAAGGCTTTCCCTAGCCGTCGCTGTCTCTCGCGCTCTCACGAGGCATCAAATCCACCGAGCTCATGCACACATGGACTGATCTCGGCGCTCCAACTCCCCATTGGACATCACCACACGTTGCGTTCCCTCCTTTGGGCTGCCACTGCAGATGCGATTCTCTACCGATGAACATCATCCCGTAACGGTGACGTGTGTCCAGCCTCAGCCCACTTTGCTTCATCTCAAAGTGAATATTATGTCGTTAACTTGCATATACGGACACGTCTTTTCTATCGTGGTAATTTCTTGTTGCTGGTACATTATAAGCGACACCTGCAAGAACAGCCCTAAAATACACATCTCACCAACGCTTAAGACTTTAAAACCAACATGCATTAGCAAACAAGGCAGCCTTTTTGAAAAAGTAAGCTTCAAATGCAGTTTATTACACCTTGTCCTGACCTTCACATTTCATTATTCTGCCTCTGATATAAAGACCTACCTCCAACTGACACCTAAGCAAATATAAACTTAAGAACACTTTCCTTATGGGGTGACTGACAATCATTGGTAAATATACAATTTTCACATCCTAAAAATATCCCCCAACCCCTTCTCCCACCGACACAGCAAATGCATTCAGAAGGGTCATAGGTGACCGTAGTTGACTTACATGGATAGAGCCCTTAGCTGTCTCCGCTATCCAGGAAAATACATTATTCATTACTTAGGATTTGGTGGGAAGCCAAAAGTCAGTTCTTATTAACACCAGTACTTTCTCCAAGTACTTCTTTTAAGTTTATTATAAAGTTTAGACCTGTTTTTTACAAAATGCTCCATTCAGTCTTACTTTTCTATGCTTATATAATAAAGTGTTTTTTCATTGGTCTCCCCATCGTGTTATAATGGATGTCGAAGTGGGAATGTGTGTGTGTGTGTATACGGATAACGCGCTAAGCTATGAACCCGGAGATCCGAGTTCAATTCCCGCTCGTTGCCAACACAAGCAACGATTATCTGAACCGGTCCTGGACCTCCCCAAGGTCAACTCAGCCTCAAATGGGTAAACATCGCCACTCAGGAGACAAAGGCGACCGGGCATGGTGCTGGCCACCCACTCCCTCGTGTGCTGTTCCGGCCTTCATTAGGTGCTCGCGAACAGCACTTGCCCCAACAGTCTGTTAAGGCTTTACGGGGATCTTTGATTTTGTTTTGTATGGATTGGACAGAATCACGGCCAAGACTAATAAGTCCAACGCTGCCAACCAAGGCACCACAACACAGAATATAATAATACCTTCATTTTATGTAGCATCATGCATGCCAACAGCATCCCACAACGCTGTACATTAATTATATATCAGCACCAAAACTCATATACGCGGTTGGCTACGCACGTTGCAGAATAGCCCAACACACACACGTACATACACACCAAGCAAATAAAAACCCTACGACCAAGCAAAACAAAAAAATTATAAACAAATTAATAAATGGCACCAAAAGAAAACGCACAAACAACAATAGTTATAAAAACAGTTAAATTAGTCCATTATGACCGATTCAAACTGTTACGATACATTATGGCTCACAATCAGACCTCCTATCACAGGATACGAGATGTCAGGACATTTAATCAACCCTGCATTCCACTCAATAGAGTTAATTAAATGTAAAAAAAAAGCTGATTATTTCATCCCAAAATCACATTTAAATATTGTATATATATGGAGATAAAAGCGTTGTGTTTAATTCTAAATATTGTGTCTGCTTCCTAAGAAATAAAATGCTCATGGGTGAATATCTTTTGAAACATGAACTCTCCAACATAAAAGTGGAAAAACACATTGTTTGGAAGACTTAAGTAACACTTCCATTTCAATAAGCGATTACAATTTTTATTTTAGAATTATTTTATGTCAGGTGTGTTTTTTCCTGCCTGTCTACGTAACAGCCTGCACGTGCCCGAATGATTGCTCGAGACAGGTACACAATGCTGCACTTATGGTGCATATAATGCTTTAAAAGTGGCTGTGATTTGCAACTGAAAACCTCATTTTCAACTTACTGCACTTGCATTTCCAAACATTAATCTGTAGTGAAACGCATGAAGCAGAAAAAGGGCCAAAATTGCTTGGCCATGTTTAAGCTGGCAGTTTATTAAACAAACATCCTCGCCCGTAATTAATGGCTTAATTATTTCATGCACGCTACCTCCAGGATTGCGGCACAAAAAAATGTGGAATTAGGGAAACACCACCGAGATGGTCATGCTTAGTCCAGCGCCTTCCGCACAAAACCTCTAAAAGTATTGAATGTCATGCTTTTGGCAGGTTTTATTACGTTTATCGTAACTGCTTAAGTGTGTTTAACATGTCAATACTGTAATTCGCTGCACACATGTTGTTGGTATGTACATGGCATTTGTTTCTGTGCACCTGTTAGTCAAGTGTGAAATACTGTGTATGCTTCGATTTAAAGCTTTCGCGACTGCAGGGATTCATCTTCTTGGTTCTTTCGGTAGTCAAGTAGAAGGGAAATAATAAAATAATAAGATTAAAACATAATAAAATAATTCTTGTCGGGGAGACAGCGACAGACCTGGTCTTCACCTGAGGACGGCTGCTTGCGTTGTGGCCGAAACGTCGTGAGAATTATTTTATTATGTTTTATTTTTATTATTTTATTATTTCCCTTCTACGTGACTTTACCGAAAGAATCAAGAAGACTGTGTATGCTGCTTAGGATTCACACAATGTATTCCTATGAATGCTGCTGCTAATCGGATGCAAGTGAAAGTGAACATTTATGCTTTTAATAAAAAGAGTCTGCAGTCCAAAGGCGGGCGATTGAGCAGAGAAAGTTTTAGCGGATTAGGACAACCACATGATTCAGAAAAACCTCGTGTGACCGACTATCCGCTCCTATTATTAGGTGGCATAGACTTAAGGCTTACATACCTAAGCAAACGCTAATGTTTTAAAATATGCAAGATGGACATTTCTGCACTGGTGCAAATATTTTTTTTTTTCACTTAGAAAAATGAAACATTCCAGCATGCTCAGCCAACCAAACAAAAGTGCCAAATTCTTTTGCACTATTTCTCATTGGCTGATCATGCAAATGAGTGCGCAAAATGAAAGTCCCCAGCCTCATTGTTGCATACTGCAACCCGAGGCCACTGCTCACTGCCAAAAACGAAACGATATTTTAATTAATCTATCTGGAGCCAAGCGCAGTTTTATAACGATATTGTGAAAATCAAAGGGGCGTGTACCGCGTTCCCAAATTGAAATGTTCACACTGATCAAAACAGAATAGAGCAAATGTTTAGTTAAACAAAAACAAGTAAACCAGTAAAAACAAAGTTTTTCACTATAAATCCTTTATATGCGTGGCATCGGGGCGGCTAGAGTCCTCTCGTCCTCTGGCTTGAGATGGCTGCCACCTATGGGTCAGATGATTGTCTGGCAGCATTAAACAATTGGTAATTAAATATTTTAAAAAAATTCCCTAAACAGTGCAAAATTTTTGAAAAAAATTTTCACGAAAATGCATTGTCACGCACAACGAGTCTGTGTGCAAAATGTCAGCTCGATTGGATCACGGGAAGTGGGTTAAAAAACGACAGAAAGATTTGCACGGTCCTAAGCAAGCAAGCAAACGAACTTAATATAAAGGATTTAAAAACAGACTCGTTTCCCGAACCCAGAGAGCAGAAGCAATGCTGCACACAACCCTACTCACTCCCTGATGTGCTTTTTAGATTGTACCGCGTGTTACTCAGCACCATGTCTAACGTTTCGCTCCACGTCCGGGCAACTATGCAACTAAATTGCAGTACACTACTATTACACAGTATAAGAGGAACCTACCCCTGGAATTGTGGGTAACAGGCATTACATGGGACAAGTGTAACTTCAGAAAGTACATTTTCTCACTCTAATTACAAACCTTTACTCATTTCTACGGTGACAGTTTATTGGCCAATTGTTTTTAATCTATTCTGATAAACACGATCCATCTGTTGCTTCAAGGCAACAGCGGAATTTGGAAGTGTTTTGGTCATGCCAAAAGGGTTTCTGCTCAATTTCATGTTTCTTCCCTTTTCTTTTACTAAGCGTACTTGAACAATGATGCAAAAACCGATTCAGAATTAATTCTCCAAAACGTTCCCTTTAAAGCTGCGGTTTTTGTTATGCATATATACATGAGCAGTGGTCAAAACAATTTGAAAACAAGACACTGCAAAAAAATCAAGACTACCATAGTTTGACATTTTCGTCCCACTTATGAGTACAAATAACACCATCTCACAATACATTAAGAGCGATTACCTTTCAAGTAACGTATACAGAGTCTGCTCAATTTAATTGTCCCATTGCTTTACTTTTTTTATACCGATGCTCATGCAAAAATAAACCTCATATTATTATTATGGGACGGGAGAATTCGTCTGCATTATAAATAATCGTAAAACCATCAGTTTTCACAGTTATATATCCCATGCCGCATTTTCATCTGAGGGGGCAGTGCAAAATGTCCTTTAAGTAACCAGTATCGAATATGTGCCACATTTTATAATTTCCAGAGGGTGACATTTTCTTACTGAAGCACCCAGGGGGCAAGCAGCTGGCAGATGACCAGTGCAATGAAAATCTAGAGAACTTCTAATACGCTTAAAAACAAACATTAACAATTTCTGCAGGCAACGGAGGTTTTCTATTCACCGAGCTAACCCACAACTGGGGTCCGTTTATGCTTGTGTGAAGGAGCGCATTGCATTAAGTGGTCAAGTGCGAATTAAGGAACACGAGTGCTTCCACGGATGTGGACGAGAGTGCCTGCCGGTGACTTCAGGGCCAACGGACCCAGTAAGCGCAGCGTTGTGGCTGTGCGACAGAGGTCGCAACCGGGTACCCGATACCCGTACCCTACCCGATACCCGGCTACCCGTACCCGGCCGGGTACGGGTAGCCGTTTGCGACCCTGGTGCGGCCGGGTACGGGTAGGCCGTGAGTCACTGGTGAGTAGCCATTTGTCACTCATTTCGGGTAGGGTACGGGTAGGGTACGGGTAGGGAACGGCTACCCGTACACGGCCGGGTACGGGTACGGTTACCCATTTGCGACCCTGGTGCAGCCGGGTACGGGTAAGGAATCAAAACCCGTTTGCGACCTCTGCTGTGCGGGTACCACGTCCCAATGCTGTTCAACTCATATCAGTCTTCAACACGTACCGGGGAGCTTATTACACAAATGCGCCACACAATACCGCCAGTCACCGTCCAACGATGTGAACAATATATAAATATAAAAATGCCCGTTTCCTTTTAAGCTTAGTGAAACAGTTGTATATAGTGAAATGCACTGTGCATGACATTCTTGCTATGCTTAAGGGTCACATTTTGAATCGTCGTCTTGAACCAAGTTATAAAAGGCATACGAAGGCAATTTGTACAGTGTAGTATAAGCAAGTACTGTAGTAACGTCTGAATATAAGACTGTAAGGTAACGCGAGTATAATTCAGGCTACAAGTGATTAACATTACAGGTCTTACCTCGATAGCATCCTTAAACTCATCCTCCAGTGACTGCTCTTCGCTGTCGTCTGTGCTTGGCTGCAAAGACTCATGAGAAAAATATTTTACGGGATCCTCCATCAGACCCTTCAATGATACAAAAAAGAAAAGAGCGAAGTTTCAGAGCATTAGCATTTGATCTTTTGTTTTAAATAAACACTCCGCTCATAGTATACAGTTATTATGGCTACATATAAAACCACACTCTGCATAAATAATCATGAATTATGAGAAATGTATTACCACTCAAAACTTAACATTTTATGCAAATGTTAAAAATGTAAAGAAGAAGTCGGGCAACCTACTCCAACATACCTAGAGGATAGACTCAATAAGAACACACACATTGAAAGAAAATAAATTACAACACGAGTACCAACTTAACAATGAAGATTTTTATACCCGTAAGTTACAGTGGTGGCATTACTGGAAGCAGTTTAGATTGCAAAATTACACATTCAGCAGTCAAAGGAAATGACTCCCATCACTTAAGTGTAAACTATCCCACTATGCTTTTGACTGATCATATGACCAACATGCAAACAGGCATTTGCCAGGAGTAGACGGTTAAAAAGAAAGGCCCTTTCCAAAACCTCTCCATTCTGCAACATTAACCTTTTGGATTTTACAAGGGCTCTCTCTACTGTCTGAACAAGACAGCATGGTCATAAAAGTTAAATTAACTGCAGATATTATCTGAGAAAGTTGATTATGTAAGTAAAACTGTGGGATTTTCATGAATATAGAGCCCTTTCATGCTCCAGACGTTTGTAGGAAATTAGCTCTTTTCAAGCATAGCCAAAGAGTACTTTCCGATGCAGTACAACACCTGGATTTGGTCCCAACGAGAGCAGCATTGGTCCGCGTCAGCCTAAAGCCCCCTGGGTTTCTTACGTGGATAATGTCCAGATGAATAAAAGCTTATAACGTGTACAAATATTGGCTCTGCTCCTTACAAAAACAAATATCATGTTCAACATGTGCTCAGAAATCTGCACAGTAACATACCTTGCAGGCTAACCTGGCCATGGCAACATTTTCCAACTAAATCCAACTCTGGACATTAAGAGTTTCTAAGTGTTATTAGCATACGGACAATTAATAAACGATAGTCCGAGTAACGATGACTACGTACGGTGCGAAAGAAGTTCAATATTGTTATCATGGGTATGTTTTTCAGCAGTTTCGAGATGGTTAGTGTTGTTTCCATGTTCATGTTGAAGTCATTCTCCAATCCGATAAAAAAAAAAATCTTCTTCTAAAAATCACTGTGAATAACTTTGGCAAAAGCGCGTCACCTTGTCCGAGTACACCGCTGCTATGCCGTTTTGTAACTTCATTCTTGTATATGCTGTTTAGAATTTGTAAATATTTCTTAATTATGCCTTGGTGGTGAATGTTTTGGATGAGTGCATCAATTTCAATTGAGGAAAATGCATTTTCATCGTGTACAAAGCCTCAGCACCATTATAACGCAGTTTCCAAGTGGTCGACAACTATTTTCTTGAGCTGCAAGACCGAGCAGGATACTACAATGATACAGGAACGTGGCGGCGTACTCTCAGTTATGTGTAACGCAATTTGCGAGTACATCGTATCTTGTCAAACTTCATCGTTAAATAATTTGAGGAAATCGTTTGCGCTTAATGTTGTTTTTGCTGAACGCAGCACTTTTCAGAAATGCACCTACCGCAGTGTTCTTCGCTAATTTTCAGTAGGGGGCCACTTTTGCCAATAAGACATCAGTGTGAGGGCCATCACACATTTGAAACCATTGGGTTTGACAGCACGACGATGTGGTGTTTTCACATTTGTGTATTGTCGGGGGCCGCACTAAAGGCCAGTGACCCGCGGGTCTTGTAATGAAGAACACTGATTTACCGTGTTAAAAACGACAACTAATGGTACTTCAAATCCATTCATCTTTTGCATAATCTTATAGATACAGGTGTGTGAAGGTAGAAAAACCCTCTCCTAAATCTGTTTTGCTCATGTGGTTGGTTGGCCTCTAAATTGTCTTTTCTTCCATCCTCAATCATTGTCAACCACTGCAGAAATGGAGCCATGCGATCAGTGCGTGTTCAGGAGCTACATGGATTTTTTTTTTATTGCGAGACTGAAAAATGTGGATGGACTTTGTGATGTCTTCATCTAGCAGTGGATAGGTCACAAATGATGATGTACCCAGACTTCTGCTTATTTTAATGGTTGCGCTCCGTTGATAATACACGTATATTACATTGTCAATAATTGAAAACATTGCCAACAATGATCAATGTTGTTATTGCAAGAGTATGCAAAGCCCGCCTTCTTGCAAATTAACTAGGTACATTTTAACAGTGACGATTCATATGAACAGTGTTCGCCTTCATTTTACTTTTACTCCGAATACATTCAGTATAATTTTAAGAATATGTAAAAATGCACGAAAACACATGTAACCATGTGCTCTAACCGGGTTCGATCACGAGCGATCAAATTACCACAGCGTAAAGCCACACAGAGTGTTTCAAATCAATATCTCTCAACAGTTTCATCGCATGAATGAACGCGTACGCTTCAGCGTCAATGACATCAGTTGAACAGTTCGTGTATTTGCTTACCAGCGCCCTTAATTATGGGGCATTCCACATTAACCCCTAATTGGTTTTGAATGGCTGTTTTGCCAAGAAGAAGTGGCCAGCAAACGCTGTAAAAATGTGCCCTCGACCACCAATGTTGTGAGTGCGTGTCTGTTTTTTTTATTCATAATTAAATCATCTGCCAGAATTCGTTCTCATTTGTTTTATATATATATATATACAAATACTACCACTCTCCTGGTTAGTATTATTATTTCTGATTCATCCGGACCACACACTGAACGTGGGGACACATAAAAAAAAACCCAACGACTTCACCTTTACTGCAATCAACTACCCCCCACAAATTCACCGTGATTTCAGTCGCAAAACCCCTATAACAACCTTGAACAGCCATCAGTCCGCATCACTCGTCATGAGAAGAGGTTTTCCCCTTTTTTCTGGCAACAAAACAGTTGTGTTAAGATGTTAGAACACCAAACTGAAACTTTTAACGAGGAATCATTTCTGCATGAACCACAATACTTGTGGTCAGGATGCAAACAAAAAACTCACTCTGATAATATATGCATTGTCCTTGAAACTGATTGGTCCACACCCGAGACAGCTTTCTTTTGAGCCGAGTCTGAAAACGGTGTTAGACCAGAGGACTCCTTTTGGTGTGGACCAATCAGTTTCAAAGACAATGCATATATTATCAGTGTGTTTTTTTATTGCATTCTGACCACAAGTTTTGTGGTTAATGCAGAAATGATTCCTTGTAAAAAGGTTTCAGTTTGGTATTCTAACATCTTAACACACCTGTTTGTTGCCAGAAAAAAGGGGAAAACGTATTCTCATATTTTGGAACTGGCAAAGGAGGTCCCATAATGTAGCTGATCACTCGTCATCTTTAGCAATTATATTAATAAAGCTGACATCAATGTGAAAATCGTTAAACCAATGTCAAGATTGCCGCCGCCGCCAACACCAGCAGAGCAATCCCCGTCCCCGGTAACAAGCAATTGGCGCTGCGTCAAAAAGCAGCATCTCATGGTGGTCTCCACCGACAACCAGGGTCAAAGTCAGCGGAAAAGAGGCCAAAGTAAATAAGAAAATTTGATATTCCGCACTCTTACGAGTCCAGCCCATCACAAACGCGCAAAGTTGAGACATCTGACAGCACCGTGTGATTGGACATTTAACCACAATTTTATCCCAATTGGACTTTCGGTGTCGTGTCGAGAGACAAAACAAATCCATTGCCATCTCTCGCAGGGCGGTGTAGCCCTTCTTGTTCGAGAACGGCCCAAAGGAGCGGGGACAACAAAGTCACCTCTGAGATCCCTTCAAGTGAACTCTGATCCACAAAGGTAGAGAGGGCATCAATTTCCTGCCCACTCTTGTTGTACGAGCATCATGTTCATCGCATGACAATCAAACCGATAACTGTAATTCCCAGAGATGGAATGTGGCCATAGTAAGCGCAGCACCAACTTTAACGCGATGGGATTAACGTCCCAAGGCCGTGGGCCGTAGGAAGCCACAGGCTGCTAGGGACGCTGCCCGTGCCTGGCGTTGGCGGCGCACCTCACTGCCGTAGCTATCGGGGGCAACGGCCTCTTCCTCTGCCTCGTTGGGCTCCGTGACGGTGACCTCCACGGGAGACAGCGGGGGCCCCAGCTCCTCTTCCTGCTGCTGCTGCTGCTGCTGAACCTGTTGCTGCTGCTGCTGCTGCTGCTGCCGCCGCTGCTGCTTCCGGTTGCGCCACCACTCTGACATCACTGCATGCAGCAGTCGCAGTTATTTATGAGTGGACATATTAGATCTATGCATGCATTCAAATGTGTACATGTACCGCACTTTAATCATATCTACTGCTGGCTGGGTTACAGCTTCCCCACGCCGTGCAGGTCAAGGGGTTATTTGACCAGACCTTCACAGTCTTGGTAATCGCGGGCTGGTGAAGGCAGGGTGCATAGACATAGAAGTATAATATACAACAATGGATTTTGCTGTGATGCCATCTGTTGTCCACCACATAAAACTCAATAGGCGTATAAAACCTGTTATATATAGTGCTCACCCGTACAAACACTAATCCAGCCTCAACGCTGCTTAGCCTTCGAGACGGCATTGTGGCCAGCAGAATGCACCATAGCCAAATCCATTGTTGTACCGTATTAAAAACAAGTGGGCTTGAGCCTGCATAGTGCTTGGATGTGAGACCACCTGTTGCACGGTACTTCTATGCTCCAACATCTATGCTGCCCCTCCTTTGCCAACCCATCCTGACGAGCGCGGTGAAGTATGATCACATAACTCTCACAGGCCGCACAACGCGAGTAAGGCCCTTGCCCAGCAGTTGATTAGCAACATGTATTTCTGTGCGAATTGGCATTGGACAATGCGTGTGCTTGTACACGTGCTTACAAATTTCAAGCACTGACAGCGTATTACAATGGGTAGCTCTGTTTGGCTCAACATGCAAGTTATTTTACAAGACTTGCTTGTTTTGGCATCGCTTGTTTTCCAGATGAATCACTTAAAAGTTGGTAATTAACTTGGTTATGATAGTGGCAGCTCACTGCCTTCAATGTTCTGACCACTTTCAAGTGCCACAGCAGATGGACCAGAAGCTAAATGCCCTCTCTGGGAGGGGATTTAAGAAATGGAATGTGAACACATAAAATAAACAGATTAAACGGATATGAAAGAATGTGGTGCATATCGAGCAAAATCCAGGCACACAATCCACACTGCCACCTTTTGGCAAATTTAACAAAAAGCTAATGGAAAATTACCATAAGTCTAACATTTATACTAGTTTTACTTACTCTAACATTCATGACGAAATAATGACAACTGAAATGTTAAGCTTAAGTAGCAAACATCTTCTAATATTAGTATTATCTTGTGTGTCAGCCTGAATAGTTGCAGTTTGCATGTTCTCCCCGTGGTTACGTGGCTCCGGGTCCTCTGGTTTTTCCCTCCACATTTAGAATCAACGTGCGTTTAGAGTATTTGGCAGCTTTACATTTCCACATGAAAAGCCACTTCGTTGAGCTATCATTTGTGGCCAGGTCGCTTCTGAAAAAGCTATATAGCTCAATGGGCCTTACCTGGTAAAATAAAAAATAGTTTATAGCTTTGTTTCGTGTTCTTAATTGTTCATGTCACTTCCCGAAGCACAATGGCACCATCTACTGGAGGAATATGGTAACTGCAGATAGGCCACAGCCTTGTGTGCACACCAATAGGGTGGCTATAAAACTGAACTTGGAAACGTTTTTTTGTTTGTCTGTAAAAACCATAAACTATTATTATTTTACCAAGTGAGGTCCACTGAGTTATCCAACCCTTTTTTCAGAAGTAACATTGGCCATAAATTATAGCTCATGGAAGTGGCTTATCGTGTGGAAATATAGAGTACCCAAATACTCAAAACGTACGTTGATTCTAAACATAAGAGGGAAAAACCAGAGGACCCGGAGAAAATTCCATGCGACCACGGCAAGATGCAAACTCTAAATATACAGGTGTCAGGGTAGGGATCGAACCCACGACCTCCTGTATACCAGGCGAGGTAGTTAACATCTCGCCATCACAACGTTTGTGTTGAAAACACCATGATGCTTGCATAAAGCTGGGCACACAAAAAAAACTGTTTCCAGCAAATGATTTAAAGGCATTAAGTGTGCCCGATGTCAGAATTACATGATGATTGCAAAAATAAAGCGTATTATATGTGAAGCTTTCATGACTGCAGGAATTACTCTTTGGTTCTTTCGGTAAAGTCACGTAGAAAGACACCGAGGGACACACACAGTGAGAGAGAGACACTGTGTGTCTCAGTGTCTATGTGTGTGTGTCTCTCTGTATGTGTTTCTCTCTCCGAGCTTGCATTCTTTCACACCTGATGACGGTTGCTTGTGTTGCAAACGAAACGTCGTGTATCCCATTATTTCTTTTATTTCTACATGACTTTACCAAAAGAACCACAGTATTAGATTTGCTTTAGTTTATCGAAGACGCTCGTATTTTTCTGATATCAGACACCTAACATTGTTAAGCACTGCCAAAGTAAATGAAATCAGATCATTTAAAATTGGCATTATGTCGTGTATGAATCAGCTCGTGTATGCTAGCTGGTGTTATTTATCCAATGGGCAGTGTCAGAGGTTTAGCGAATGCCTCGACCTTTGCTTAGGACGACACCTTTAAGCACCGCATTCACAAAAACGTCGTGACCGCTGTTGATTTACATTACAACCGAGAAGTTCCAGTTGCATCTGCATATTTCACGAAAAAAAAAAACTCTCACCTATGAGGAAGTCTTGATTCCAGAAAAACGTTATATTCACAACCAACAGTATCATCCAGTGCAGGGGCAGGAAGTAAAATGTATAAAGTGCAGCCAATAGACATCCATAAAACCTATTAAAAGAGAACAAAGCAATTCACATTTTAGAGCATATCCTATTACACACATGCAATTGTACTTCCTTATGCAAGTGCTATGATATATTTGTGACTATCTTTTACAAAAATACACATTCATGCTTTTATTGTAAACCAAGGCCTTTAAAGGACAATCTGGTCCTCATACCCTCCAGACTAAGGCATCTTAGCAGTGTCTGAATGCCAATGTTTATCACTCAAGTTGTAAATCGTCCGCTCCAATCATTCGTGCGTTTATGAAGGCCCTCAATGGTAATCGGCGCTTGGCAAAAGCCGAGGCAGACAGGAGGATAACTAGAATTGCCTGGACTGACACTTGTATGTATGTAATGCAGTGGTACACTCACCTCACCGAGAGCGCCTGACTCTCCCAGCTGATAATGCCATAGAATATCTCGCACAAATCGCACGCTCTCGTGAGCATATGTTGAAGTTGAATTAAACTGCATGACAAAAAGGAGAGCAGATATAGAAATAAAACTAGTTATATTTTTTATAAGCATAGTAAAAAAAAACAGCACTTTTAAAAGTACACGTCAGATTATTTATAACCAAAGTTTTCATCGGTTGTAAAAATGTCACAGCATATATGACAAAAATTGCTCCTAATTTAAAGCTACGGTAAATCCAGATGTAACAGGCAGTAAATGCTAATGTCGTTGGTACACTAAGGCGACAATATATACATAATATTAAATAGCTGTGAACAATGCAATAACAATTACATTACTTACAGCCCAATAAAGTTTAGCAGCTGAACAAATGGCTATATTTCTCTTAAGTGACCATTATTGACCGAGATTACACAAAACATCCAACTCCAATTGTATCTAATCATCTTCAAAAGCCATTCTCAGGCCACAGATTAATTATAGACGATAGCATTTTCACTTGGTGGCACGCTTCCAGGAGTGGCAGGTCACTTGATGCCACAGTTCTCATATTTCACGAGACAGAATCGCATGACAGAACAAATATATAGGTTCTTGTTGTTCTATTACAAGAGCTCTCTGAGGTTTAGAACAATAGTAAGTTCCTTATAAATTGTTTAGCGGAGGAAGCCAACATATCTGTATCAAATAGAGAGTTTGTTTCAAGTGTGTCCAAACTATTCCTTGGCTAATACTTGAAGAATCCCATGTTCGCAAATGTTCCTTGTAAATGAATGTTTCTAAAAACAGATGACCCCCTCTATTACAGTCTTGCATAACATTGAAACGAACCATAAGGTACAACTGTCCATCTGCCAGAGACACGTGGCAGGCAGATAATCTACCATAATTCTAATTCACACAGAGTATTTGATTCATCTTTCATAAAGTGGGGGGGGGGGGGGGGGGGGCAAACTCTGACGAAGAGCAGAGCAACAAGGGAGAAAGGTTGCTCTGAGAGGGACCAGGCTGTACCGCGTATTTATCAGGGTGATGTCCGATATGTTTGTTCCATGTCCTTGAGCGATTGACCCAAATACGGCTTTTATTGGTACCACCAAGGCAGGCAAATGCAATCAATGATTTTCCTGAATCAGATTATCTCTAGATTACAAGCATGTATGGATAGCTCGGTTACTGTGGTAGCTTTGTATGCTAAAATTGTTTCATTAAACAAGGATAGTCAGGAAGAAATTATTCGGTAATGGTACACTATTTATTTTTAATGAAGTGTTATTGACATGTTGAGGTTTTTTGGTGCGATGTTTGATAGAGAATATAATTTTAGCAAAAATAAACGTGATACGAAACAGCAATGTAATATGAACATCGGTAGAGCATGTACAAAACAGACGGATATATCCAAATATATCTGTTTGATGGATAATTGGAGGTAATTTTTATATTTGGACCATGATGCCAACATACAAGATGCCCTGATGTCAAATGACATTAGGGCATCTTAGGCATGCAACTGCGACGCACAAAGGGCATGCATTTTTTTTCCCCAATCAATACACTCGCAGTAATAACCAGGGCAACCTGCCGACTTCGAACGGCGAACCTCTGTAACAACGAGCAGCTGCCACGCTTCCGGCAGGCCGCGGGCCACGTCACCCCCCCGCTCCCCTCTGTTGATGGTGCCATTACTCACAAATGTTTCGTTTCCGCGAGGGCTTCGTGCCGACTCAGTGTGATGCGGCTGAGGTCCTCCTTCCACACCGAGTGCCTCCTCTGCACCATGAGCTGCTCCTCGGGGAGGCGCGGCCGGCAGCGCTCCTGCGCATAACCCAACGTCGCCGGCACCGTCAGCAGCAGGGTCGCCAGGGCCAGCCAGGCGCCTGCCGCACAAGTGTGCGTGTGTGCGCGTAGATAAATGACATCTCAAACACCCGGTGGTGGAGCGGTTAGCGCATTGCGCTACGAAACCTGGTGACGCTACTTCAAATCCCGCTCATGGCCACCACCAGTGACGGTTATCTAAACTGGTCCTGGGCTTCCCCTAGGTCGACTCAGCCTCAAATGAGTACCTGATGCGATGTGTTAACATCGCCACTGGGGAGACAAAGGTGGCCGGGCGTCGCCTTGGCCACCCACCCCCTCGTGTGCCGTGCCGTGCCAGCCTTCATAGGTGCTCACGAACAGCACTCGCCCCAACAGTCTGTTAAAGCTATACAGGGGTCTTTGTCTTTAGATAAACGACAATATGCAAATAACGTGCATGTACGTCACACTAATGCTGACCTTGGGTCAATTATAATTACAATGACCGGAGCATTGTTAGCCGAAATTACTATTAAGTTACGATTTAAAATATTGTTATGCATTAGAACGTAAAAATCATAATTGGGCCCAGGTTTGTTCTAACCTCACGTTTACTTTGACGTAGGAGCAGCACTGCCTTTTGTCAACCCACTGATGGACGAGGGCTTCCTCCCGTCGCCAAAAAGGTCGTGGGGGCTATTTGGCCATACTTCGCCGTGCTGGTCAGTGTGGGATGAAGGCAGGGCGCATAAACTTGAAAGCACGGAAGACAGTGTCGCAACAATGGCTTTTGCTACAGTCCGTCCACATTTATCAAACGAGATTTTTTTTTATATTTATGAAATAATTAAGTAATGCTGCCCCTTGTCAATTATTGTTGAAGGCCTCTCCACGGGACGTTGGTACATGGGGGTTGTTTGACCATACCTCACCACGCCTGTCTGTGTGGGTTTGTGAAGAGGGGTACTCAGGATCAGTTCAAATTGCACTCACCACTAATAATAGCCAGGGTCAAGATTCGAACTTAGATAACCAGGTTTATCAAAACAATTCAGCCAACCACTATGCCACTGGATGTTATAAATATGGTTAAAAGGTTAAATCCGATAGAGGTAATTACTCTATCATTAAAACATCACTGTACAGTATACGTTTATGATATTTTATTTATCTTTGGTTCGCACTGTCAAAGCATTTTCACAGACTGAAATGCAGTTAAATTTATGGTGTTTGGTTATTTTCTTTTTTAATCCGCAATAGTTCTGCAGACAACTTCCGAAGGCCCTGCGGAGCATCAGATTGGGATCCACTGCTATTTTAACACGAGAACAGCCAGGCATGACAACTTCGATAATCATAACCATCATTGAATGAGTAATCAAAACGAGTGTTCCCAGATGGCACTAACTTAAGTCTCGGGCCACTTTACAGCTTTCTTTCTATGCAGAGTATTATCGATTCAAGTAACAGGCACTTACCATGAGATAGTGCAAGTATGAACAAGTTCAACACCAAACAACAGAAGACCGACACCACTGGGGTTCTCCACCTGCAAGCACAAACGTAACATTTGTAAACAGCTGCACACGGCACACTGACACTCATCACCGTCATCATCACGATCCATGGGGCAGATAGCCCGTTGGTGACCATTGCAGATTTCGTCATTTGTTTACACTTTCCTCCGTCTTGTAGTGCCAATATGCTCAAGTAGTGTCACATGTTTTTGGCACCTATCTCTTTCGGGTCGTCAACAAGCCATTCTCTGTTAGATCTTCCTTTCTTTCCGGTTCCTTCCATTTGGAATGTTCCTATTGTTGCCCATCCTACACGTATCCAAATAGTGCGAGTTTCCTTCTCATCACTGACACTATCCATGCAAAAATTAATTGAATACATCGAAACATTTTATTACAATGCATGCATTGAATCAAGCGCTTAAGAATCAACAACTTTACGAGTAGACAAATGACAGTTTAAAAAAGAATGTAAAAAGCAGGCGCAAGATGGTTTGCCGCATCGTGGGAGTACAAGCAGTGCGGATAGCTGGGGGAGGCCTTCTCTCAGGAAATCACGGCTTATGGAGATCACCAATTACGGGAATGCTCCATGTATCCACAAACCTATTATCCACTGGTCCAGGATGACCAGCAAAATACTCTATTATCCACGGCTCGATTGTTCATATTTTCCCGCATTTATCCGCGGGTAAGATGATAATGACTTTGATGACTTGTGATGATGATTGATGATGATTTTGCCACTTCCACCATATCTTCAGTCCTCATGGCACCACATGCAACAGATGCAGCACACTACACTCTTCCGCACACCACTAAAATGGATATCTTCGGCATATTCCTATTATGTGCATGTTTTTGCACATAAGAGAAATCATGAAGAACATCCATCCCATCATCCGCAGTTCATGAAGTGAATAGGAGGATTTAGTTTTTTGCGACAAGCACAGATAATAAGAGAAGTCAATAACACGCCCTCACATCATGGATATGCTAATTCTGGCTAATTAAACTAATGGGACAATACAAATACAACAAAACAATCGGTTCTTGTATTACATTTTTACCCCAAATTGTGCCAATTAATTTAATCACAGAGTGTGTCCAATTCGTTACATACACAACTAACACCAATATGTACTTTTCAATGCACAAGTGTGGTTAAGCATAAGGCCACGTAACACCATCTAAAGCCATTGGTGGCTGCCGGCACTAATAAGCAGTTGCGTTTTCAAATTACACACGTTGACAAATGCTCATAGAAGCAATACAAATGCAATTCCCCCCCCCCCCCCCATGCCGATTTAACAAAATCAACCTTTCTGAAATCTGCTTCAGAAAAAGCTCAACAGTACAAAGGCGAAAATCCCAACTAATTGGGGCTGCGGATAACTTGGATTCCTGAACGACTGGGACGCACCAGCGGCTCGTCATAATCACGTGACCGATGGCCACCCAAGGATTATCACAAACTGCCCCACACCGGCCCAACTCTAGTGAAGGCATTTACAGTGCACAGCTTTACGAACGCCTTGGATTTCAGATTTTGGACGGATTTAGCCGGGAAAGACAAATCCACAGTCCGGGGTTTTACTGCTTTCGGATTTCGGACGTACCTTGCCAGGAAAGACATCTCCACAGGCTAGCATTTCCTATTTTCAGATTTCAGATGTATCTAGCCGGGAAAGACCTCTCCACAGGCTAGGATTTCCTACATTCAGATTTCAGATGAATCTAGCAGGGTGAGACATCTCCACAGGCTAGAATTTCCTACTTTCAGATTTCGGACGAATCTAGCCAGGAAAGACATCTCCACAGGCTAGCATTTCCTACTTTCAGATTTCAAATGAATCTAGCCGGGAAAGACCTCTCCACAGGCTAGCATTTCCTACTTTCAGATTTCAGATGAATCTAGCGGGGTGAGACATCTCCACAGGCTAGAATTTCCTACTTTCAGATTTTGGACGAATCTAGCCAGGAAAGACATCTCCACAGGCTAACATTTCCTACTTTCAGATTTCAGATGAATCTAGCCGGGAAAGACCTCTCCACAGGCTAGCATTTCCTACTTTCAGATTTCAGATGAATCTAGCGGGGTGAGACATCTCCACAGGCTAGAATTTCCTACTTTCAGATTTTGGACGAATCTAGCCAGGAAAGACATCTCCACAGGCTAGCATTTCCTACTTTCAGATGAATCTAGCCAGGAGAGGACATCTCCAAAGGCTAGAATTTCCTACTTTCATATTTCAGATGAATCTAGCCAGGAGAGACATCTCCACAGGATAGGATTTCCTACTTTCATATATCGGACGAATCTAGCCGGGAAACATTACCACAGCATAAACTGCCGCAAGACAACTACCTGCAAATTGGGTGTTACCATGACATTCTGTGAAACATAACAGAGATTCGCACGTGAAAGGTGCGTACCTAAGCGTGGCTATGTATCGCAACAGGTTTTTCCACCCACTCCGATTGACTCTCAAACATGCCCAAACAAAAACCAGGTGACAGTTTTACACTTGCACTCGATAATGTTCAGTGTTTATGCACGCTAGGTGTGGCCTATATGGGTTTTACGGGAGACCATAAGGTCAGACTGACATTGTAAATTAATTATGATTATACCGTGGGAAACTTGAGCAACTAGGCTGTTGCATGTGTTGTTAACTACAAGTGTCACCTCAAAGTATAGCAGTATAACAGAGGTCGCAATCGGGTACCCGATACCCGTACCCTACCCGATACCCGGCTACCCATACCTGGCCGGGTACGGGTACCCGTTTGCGACCATGGTGCGGCCGGGTACGGGTAAGCCGTGAGTCACTGGTGAGTAACCATTTGTCACTCATTTCCCAACGTCTTGTCTCTTCTCACAATTCAAGTTCCTAGAATCAACCCACCCGTGCCTGCAACATGGCTTCATCCAAGAGGTCGCAATCGGGTACCCATACCCGTACCCTACCCGATACCCGGCCGGGTACGGGTATTGGGTAGGGTAGGGTATGGGTACCCGTTTGCGACCCTGGTGCGGCCGGGTACGGGTACGGGTAAGGAATCAAAACCCGTTTGCGACCTCTGCAGTATAAGCAGTTGTATTCTGTAATGGTGACACCATTAGAGGCTTAACCATATACAGATGTACCATTGAGCTGTTAAGCCAGACATTTGCGTCACGCAATAACAACAAAGGACATGATTTTAAATAGGCCAAGAATAATTGTTGTTTATGCATTTCAATTCATAGTTTGTCACTGCACATTAGTACAAACACACACGTGCCCTAATTGACACAAATGATAGAGAGAGGAAAAAATATCAGAAGCAAAATGCCATACGATTTTTATTTGTTTCCATAATATAGGTTTTTGGGTTAGATCGCGTAAATATAAAAGTGTCGTTGAACCCGCCACCACCCGACACAGCTAATTAGTAAGGTTTGTCACGAACAAAAATGCCAATTCTTTACTAGTACAGCACACCGGTGTATTAAGAGAGTAAACCTAGTACAACATTTACAATTTCAGAGCGCTAAGCTAACGACGCTGAGAAAATAGGTTCAAATTCAGGTTTCACTTCATTTTGTATTATTACTTTTCTATCTACGTGACTTTACCGAAAGAACCAAAGAACATGTTCAAGTTGAGCGAGTTGATCATCTGTCGGGTCACCGAGTACTCCACAAAAATGTAATCCGGCAATAAAATCTGCCAAAACTTGTTCTGAGAATAAAAAATAAATACATTTCCGTGCTTTTGGACACATTTTCGACAGCAGTGCACATGTTAAAAACCAGAAAATCGAGTATAGACCTCAGGAGGTCTCTTTAAGGGATCTCTAAACACAGGCTGATTTATTGCTCCGTGGGAATTAACAATTGAAACTTCATTTGATGACACGATGCAAAACATCGGTTGTATTCATCTTCTTGGTTCTTTCGGTAAAGTCACGTAGAATGGAAATAATAAAATAATAAAAATACAACATAATAAAATAATTCTCTGGTGAGAATTCTCTGGTGAGAATTATTTTATTATGTTAAAATTTTTATTTTATTATTTCCATTCTACGTGACTTTACCGAAAGAACCAAGAAGATGAATCCCTGCAGTCACGAAAGCGTTAAATCGAAATAAAATCGGTTGTATTAATTGGGAAAAGACAAACCAAAACGTCTAAACTTATCACACATTATTTTGCAACTAAATCCATTCAATGTGTAACACTCTATAGAATACTGGATCATCCTCACCATTAGCCAGGCTCAATCCACTTGTGGTTGAAAACCTCCGCATGTGGCCGTTCCTCACGGTCTCACGATGCAGCAATTCATCTCTATCCTTGGGCTGCCACTCCATCGCCATCTCGACCAGCGGCCGTCACACCTTCTAGTGACGCGTTCTGTCGTTATGTCTCCAATCTGCTTTTGTTCGTGGATTCCCACGATACTCTGCTCAACCCTCCCTGTAATTCCAATGATGCTAGTTTTCATGCTTATTAGGGCACTTTAGAACACTTGTTCCGTTTCCTTAGCCAATGTCCATGTTTCTGATCCATATGTCAGCGTTGGGCTTGGTGCAGACTGGTTGTGGGATGGGGCTCTACCGATTTCCCCTGGCGAATGGGACCAACAAACGTCAACACCTTCTTGGTTCTTTCGGTAAAGTCACGTAGAAGGGAAGTAATAAAATAATAAAAATAAAACATAATAAAACAATTCTCACGACGTTTCGGCTACAACGCAAGCAGCCGTCTTCAGGTGAAGAATGAGACACTACCAAGCTACCCTGGGTTGGAGGTGCAGCGTATATATAAGCTCCTAGCTTGGTAGTGTCTCATTCTTCACCTGAAGACGGCTGCTTGCGTTGTAGCCGAAACGTCGTGAGAATTGTTTTATTATGTTTTATTTTTATTATTTTATTACTTCCCTTCTACGTGACTTTACCGAAAGAACCAAGAAGATGAATCCCTGCAGTCACGAAAGCTTTAAATCGAAATTTAAACGTCAACACAATTTTCGTAGGGGA